ATTAGCGGTCCCTAGTTTTACTGTTTACATATTCCAGGTGGCCTGGATATCCAAAGTATATTTAGAATTCATATTTCTTATTTATTTTTTTCTGAGATTATATTGATAAAAGACTTTCTAGGCAAAAATAAATGAATAAATAAATTCATATTCTTTATGAAATATTCCGAAATAAATCAATCTCAATAAATCTTCTTATATATTATATTTTTTTTATATTTATAAGTCTCCGATACTATATTGATAAGAGACTTTCTAAGCTGAAATGAATAAACAAATTCACATTCTTATTCAGTATTTCTGAAATAAACCAATCTCAATAAATCATCTATTGTCATTTATAAAACAAATATTTTTTTCTTTAGGGTTGCTGGTTTTGAAAATAATGACCTTCAATTATTATTCAAAAAATTGTACAAGACCTTTTGTGACACATTTCTAGAAATACAACGTATTGAAATCGCATTGATATTTTCCTGCATGTGTCAATTTAATCTTGATGAAAGGTGTTTTAGTATACACACATGCGTGTAAGACAAGGGTACGCTAAGAACTGGATCACATATCAACGTTATACATAGGTGGTCGTTGTAGGCAACTGGTCGTTACAGACAGGTTTCCTGTGTAGACAAACAGTCTTAAAGGCAGGTTTTATTGTTAATTGTGTTTTCTTCAGACGGTTCGGCGCGACGAGCACAGTAACAGGAGGTAAGAATGACGAACATTGTGGAGTTCCAGTTTACAGGAAATTAACATACATCTCTGCCCACGCTAGATATTTTCATACTCAAATATTCATGAACATGGAGGTCCGTTACCTTTGCTTTAAATGGAATTCCTAAATTGTCAAAACAGACTTGGTACTGAAAAGGCCGGTGTAACGTTGAAAATGATCCCCGTGGAAAATGGAACATGGAACCGGTTTCAGTTTGCAACGTTGAAAATGGAACCGGAGAGCCAATGGGTTATACCAAAATAATGAAGCAATATTACATTTCTGTTCACTGTAATTTGAATGAAAATCCTTTCAATCCAACCATATGTTATTTGGAAATCGGAACAAACGGGGACTATATTATCAATAAAAATGTATCATCATAATCATAACCTCCATTTTTTTTTAGTAGTTTAGACCATACAATATCTTCCTTTGTAACTTACTTAATACTTAACACAATAGAACCTGTGCACGAGAGTACATTAACCCGAAGGTTAGAGATGTGAACTACCTGTCGTAAAGCTAAGTCTAATACAATAGTCATTAATTGTTAACATATTTTACGCGGTCAACTTTTATTCGAGATAATTTATCACTTGTACGGAGGCTGGCTACCCATTGCATTAAGGCTGTATACAACCTTACTACGACAAGCATCTCCATTCCTAAAGAGGTATAGAAATCTGCACAACGCCTTTTTTACGAATAAAAAGTAGCATGCATCTAACGACCCATGTCCAACTGTAGGCAAACAATTGAAAATTCCACTGCAGTTTTCGGTGAATCGGGAACCGTCGGCACTTTCCGTGAACAAGAAATCGTTTTTGTTTTTGCACATGGAGTAGTCTCCCATTAACTTCGTTTTCGGCTGTATCTGTAGCGCGACTAAAGAAAATTACAACCGTTAACTAGGATTCTGGAGTGGTTAAAACTACAGTGTAATGAGTAAAGGTCAAGGATTCAAATCCTGGGTTGGCCACACTAGGTACTTATTATTTGTCGTGAATTTCGTTTTGATTATTTTAGTTTCGCAAGGGTTTTCCCGCGGAATCGTCAAGGCTTTATTCATGCCGGGAAAAACCTTCCCGTACATACTTACAATTTATGACAGTGGTTCCGGGCTCCTTAAAGTGAAAAATAAAAATAAAATCCATCCAAGTGACATGATTGTAACGTGTAGGCCGCAGTGTGAAGGGTCAAGTCTCCGTGACCGCCTTATGACCAGTCACGTCCCGAGAAGGGTTAGCTGAGGATAGGAGGCGAGGCAGAACGGGAGTTGGCATATAATTAGTAGCGCCCATGTATTTCTGGGTCATCTAATCCCAGATGGTGGTTAAAGTGGCACAGCAGTATTTTCATCAATCAAATTTGAAAAGAATGATATGTTCCCGCCTTACCTCTCTATTTACTTAAGTAATGGATGGGAGTATCTCTGATATCGACCCATATTTATATACAGTAGAAAGTCGAATAGAAATTGCAAGGCAGTGTCATTTAATATAGAATAGAACATTCATACTCCAGATTCGTGAACGTTCCTTTACTCATGGTAATTTCAAAACTTATCTTTTTTTCCGATGGTAAGCATAACTGTAATTTATTTCTTAGATGATTGATGTCTGACATCTATTTTGTCTTAGTTAATATCTGACATCCCCTTTGTCTTAGTTAAAATCTGACATCTATTTGGTCTAATTTAATTTCTGACATCTATTTTGTCTTAGTTAATATCTGACATCTATTTGGTCTAAGTTAAAATCTGACATCTATTTGGTCTAATTTAATTTCTGACATCTATTTTGTCTTAGTTAATATCTGACATCTATTTGGTCTAAGTTAATTACTGACATCTATTTGGTCTAAGCTTATATCTGACGACTGTTTTGTCTAAGTTAATATCTGACATCTATTTTGTCTTAGTTAATATCTGACATCTATTTTGTCTTAGTTAATATCTGACATCTATTTGGTCTAAGCTAATATCTGACGACTGTTTTGTCTAAGTTAATATCTGACATCTATTTTGTCTTAGTTAATATCTGGCATCTATTTGGTCTAAGCTAATATCTGACGACTGTTTTGTCTAAGTTAATATCTGACATCTATTTGGTCTAAGTTAATTACTGACATCTATTTGGTCTAAGTTAATATCTGACATCTATTTGGTCTAAGCTTATATCTGACGACTGTTTTGTCTAAGTTAATATCTGACATCTATTTTGTCTAAGTTAATATCTGACATCTATTTGGTCTAAGTTAATATCTGACGTCTATTTTGGTTTAAGTTAATATCTGACATCTATTTGGTCTAAATTAATATCTGACAAATATTTTATTGTAGATCGTTAATAGCCGACTACTGTTATATCTGATGTCGTTAGTATCTGATGTTCACTTGGTTTTAGATAGTTTGTATCATGGTATTTGTTAAGTCTTAAACCACAAATATATGACGTCCAATATGTCTTAAGTAGTTTTAATATCTTGCATCCACTATGTCTTAAGTCGTTAATATCTGACACATGCTTTGTCTTTTTTTGGTGTCTGAAAATGTGACACGTATCTGAAAAATAACAGCAACTAATCTTAAATGAAATTGCTTAAATGTACGTTGTATAGTCATATGTTGCATCAGAAATGCATTGACGCCTCATTGCTAGATAAAAACTTCGGATCGTCCGACGGTTCTCAATAAAATAGTGTCTAGCACACTCAGTGAAACCTAAAACTGGACAAAATGAAATAATGTACGAGGCGATTGTTATCTTTATAAAGCTTGGTCTAGAGTAGATCACTGAATGACTTCTGCTTCCGAAGTCCAGTAAACGAGTCCTATTTAAATTTATTCTTAGTCCTTATTTCAATTCCGAATCACACTTGAAATGACACATAATTTGTGAGGAATTCGGACAAGCCTGACCCGTAATTAATCTAGAGGAATGCTGAGAAACCTAGGTCATGACATTGCATGATGTTATGTGTGCTCCCGCTTCAGGTACGAGTTTCCCTATTAAGTGCTCTCAGCTCCCGATTTTAATAGACTGGCGACCACTTTTGTTCTATTTCCTTACCCCGTTACATATGACGTGTTCTTGACACCTGTTGCCATACCAACTGTACATGTATCCAATGGTCACATTGGATTGATCCATGCAAACAAAAATACCGATACTGATGAACCGTGAACTACAGTAATACCACTAACACGCTGTAATGACTATGACAAGCCAACTTAACATATCTATTTCAATTTGTATTTTAAAACGTCTCTAAATTATTTATATATATCTCTATTCTTTTAAAGGTATCCTATCAATTAAAAGATAACCCAATTAGTATATGAGATATCTTTTAGAGTATAAGAAATGTCACCTTTAGGTATTAAATGCTAAGTTGGCTTGCCATTGACGGTACAATCCTTATTTTCGGTCCTGTATACACTTGTGCTAAGCAGAATCCTCTAAAACAGGAAACACTTTTATCGTAGCTGTTGGACGTGAAGCACAAATAAACCAAACCTCTTGCTCTCCAAATATGGATGCATGATATTACCTGTGAATTCATGAATATATTACGGTAATGATAAACGTTGTACGCGTTAAGAGGTTAATTAGGGCGGCCATTTGATTGCTTTATTAATAATTTATGTTAATGAGGCATGCGAACACATACTTACGCTTACCTATAGTGGTCATTCGACGAACAACACAGGTAGGTGTATAGCTGAGGTACTGACCATTCCGGAACAAAAAGCATCACAGGTTTTTGTTTTTATCTGTATTTAGGGGTCATATTTCAACGCTAACACGTGTATGATTATGGATTAAGGATGGCACTAGAAAAAGCCGTAACACCGGAAATTGTTTTTTCACAACCGACTTCATGCAAAATCTGTATTTATGACAAATGTCCAATATCGAAACAATGCACCGGACCGCCACATGATAACGGCCAATTGTGGGACAATAGAATATAGTGTTGCGATTCTTTTAACGGCCTTCCTTTTAAACGTGTATTATATGCCCTTTTTTACAGCAACGGGATTGGAAACAAGTATTACAACTTATACAAAGTCCTTTCCCTACAATATTTATATTACATTTCAACTAGAATTTTACCGGAACTAAAGACACTTACTATTATTTACATACTATGAAAACATCCACTAACGATGTAGGGAGGTGGTACACAACATACTGTACAATCACAATGGATCAAATTTCAGTTCCTTGTTCGCATATTTCATGCCCCTGTACCTACATCATTTTGTTTTCCATTTCAGGTAGAATTATAGATGACGCGGACACTTCACCAACGTCATTTCCGCTGGAATTTGAAAAACCGAAAGTGAAAAGTTCCGGAAGCGGCTATCCGCTGGTCAACTTCAGGTCAAAGACCTTAGGTAACGTTGTTTTTAAATTAAGATAAGCCATTTGTAAGGGTAAAGTTGAATAGTCATCAATCTCCTTGTAACAGCCAGGGTCATATGAAGACTGGAAGGCTGAAGTTGCAATCAAAATGCTGGTTAGAATAGTTACGTGGATGTTTTTCTACGTCAACTAAACCCAATCTAAAAAATAAATATGATATTCATTATCTTATATTATTTGGCCTAACATATTATTTATATATCAGAAGAAGAGTAAAGATTCGCATGCTTTTTTGTGTCATTGAAGTAGCGATAAATATGCGGTACTACTTTTTTTCTGCTTTAGAACCACGCCCAAAATCCAATGACGTTGCCAAGGAATCTGACATCGGACACAACCAACTTGACTTTGAAGGTAAATTTCCAAGTGTCTTGATTTTTTTTTATTAATATCCATTACATTCCCTGGATCAATTTGGAACAAATATCAGTAGATGTTGACTTTAACTTCATGTAAAACACATTAATATAGTTTTTAACGTGTTTCTCCTAGGAGTAATAAAGACATTCATACGATTAAACTTTAAAAAATAAACATTTTCACTTTAAAATTCAGTAAGAAAACCGAACCTCATATATTCCTCGAGGACAGACATCGGAGGAAACGGGAGTAAAAAACCAGGAAAACCAATCCGGAACCGGAAGTTGACATCATCACAGTCTGATCTTAGTAATTCGGATTCAGAGTGTAAGACTCCAGGTAATGCTCATAGAACATCATCACCTACTAGAGCTCATGTTAATATGAATGAATCGCCTGATTGATTTCATTTTTAAGTTTTTAAGGTCCCTTAAAGGCATACGTTCGATTTATTTTCATAGTTGTGTTTACGCTGCTTATTATAATACTCTACGAAATATATACTAAGTATAGGCCAATGGATTATATTATGAAACCGTACATGTGTTTAGGAAGGGGCTGTGGCAATAAATATGTATAATTATCTGTATCAAATTAAACTTGCATTCAAGATCACCTTATGATCTTGACCTTTGGGTTTTGTGATACGCGACATCTGTCGTCTGGTCATGACACACAAATCTATGAAATCTCACATGATAGCGAAATTGTGAGGTGATAAATGTTACTGTCCGGACAAGCATTATTTAACTTTTGACACTTCGCCATGTCCTTGACCTTTCGGATACAGACCTAGAAGTGTTACACAACACATCATTTGACCCTGACGTCACGACGCACACATGTATGGAATCTCAAAACGAAACCTTGAGGCTATCAGAAGTTACGTTCCTAACACGCTACCTGATATTTGACCCTCGCCATGATCTTTTGAGTAGGGACCCTAGAGTGTAACGTCATACGTCATCTTGTCATTACACGAAGATTCTTGGTGAAATCTTGGACTCTATTAGAGGTTATGGACCAAGAATGGTTTTACTTGACATTTGATCCGTCGACTTGACCTTGACATTTCGGCGTGGAATCTGACCAAGAGTGTTACGTGACCTGCCATCGAGTTATGATTCATGCATATATGAAATTCCATGACAACGCGCCATTAAACAATACGCGGTGAATGCATATGCTGTATGTCGTGGAAATCATTACTTTGAGGCTGGACAAAGCGCAAGAACGAACGAACACAAAAAAAAAAACTGTTTTTAGAACAGTCCTTAATTACTATTATATATATGGTCTAATATAGTTCGGACATTATGTAAAAGATGATCTTACTGAAATGATAATGAACTGCTACACCTAATTACATTTTAAACCAAATAATCAGATGTTTTTTCGTCAAAGAGCAGTGAATCACACACCTCACTGATACCGTGTTATTGTGAGGGGTGATCATGACTGAATTCCATGCATCTCTTCCTGCATTTCATGTTTTTGTCAATTTTGCCTTCCCTAAAGTTTCGACATGTTCATAATATTCGTTTGATATTTCGTTATTGTGTTTAGCGATCAGAAGCTTTCTCATGTAATTATTTGTTTTATTTAGACGTAACTGCTGCTCGTCCAAAATCGATTTCAAGAACCGTTTCTGGCGAGACAACATCCGAAGCAGACAAGGAGAAAGCGGTTACGCCAGCAGTGGTCAGTGATAAACCCCGTGACGTCAGGGCCAGTGACCCCGTACTGATCTACACCACAGCTGACATAGCGGCAGGGTTAACGCCAGACCGTAAATATTCGACAGACGATGTACAGGTGGAGGAGGTAATAGAACCCACAACGTTCGTCAGGACAGATGCAAGTCCACGTGCTGAACAGTTGCGGTCAAAACCTGTTATCAATACCGATGATGTCGCTAGTTCGAGGCAAGGTTCAGATCGCCGCCTGCTCAAACAGAAGAATACTGACGAAAGTTTAGACCATCCATTGGAAAACAGAATAACCCGAAATCTAAAAGCATCGCCCGAACAAAGTGGCACAGATCATCCTGTGAATCATAAAGGAGATAAGACAAAAGACAATTTACCGCCCAAGTGTAGCAGTGAAAAGCACTTAAGCGACTCGAAACAAAAGGGCGTTGACAAATCCAATGGCGATGTGAAGAGTGTTGAAAGTGAATTTGCGCAGCTTCTTGATCTGCACAATCCGGTTGTAGAAACGTATACAGAAGAGGTTATTCCTCTCCGGGTAATAGTAGAAGACGACGTGTTTGTCCAGGAAAGCCCCTCGTCAAATACATCGTCAGATTCAAGTTCTAGCTCAGACGAGGATATCTCAAAGGAAAACAAACTTCAAAACACAGTTGAAACCAAGAGACCTATTCCGGTACCAAGGAGAAGCCAAAGTGTTACACAGCCGGAATCACAAGATGAATATTCCTCGGAGGACATCACTTCTGACAGACCGAAACTGCATGAACAAAACATTCCATTAAAGCGGAAGTCATCTACCTCATCTTCATGCTCCTCAAATTCTGACAGTACATGTGACCGGAAATATATTGTGCAGGCACCCGAAGGAAACATTAGACCGGAAGTTAAGTCAGATTTAATTCCAGTAGAACTAGATGCTGAACAGGAACCACAGAAAAGACGTCATCGATCAAACTCATCATCGTCGTCTTCTTCATCATCATCGTCGTCATCTGATTCTTCGTCAGAACAACGCTTAAAGTCATCTAAAAAGAAAGTACATCCGCATTCAGAGGTTGGTACAGTAGAAAAAGATTTTAAAGGAACAACTGAGCCAGAAGTTCATGCGACAGTCGATGTGAAAACAAAAATAAAACCGAATATTGAAACGATCCACAGTCTAACTGACAATATCAAGGACATTCCTGCTGTTGAAATAAGGGATACTCCAGTTATTGGAAATAATGATATTTCCACTGTTGAAATAAAAGCCCTACCTGAAGTTGAAATAAAAGACATTCCCGCATTTGAAGTTAATGACATTCCCCCTCTTGACATAAGGAATATTCCAGCTGTTGAAATCAAGAATACTCTCGCAGTTGAAAACGAAGGAATATTCCCTGTTGAAATAAAGGATACCTACGCAGTTGAAACCAAACCTCTCCCCACTGTTGAAGTTAAGGTTATTCCTGCCGTTGAAATCAAGGACATTTCCGTCGTTGAAATCAAGGATATTCCCGCCGCTGAAATCAAGGATATTCCCGCCGTTGAAATCAAGGATATTCCCGCCTTTAAAATCAAGGATATTCCCGCCGTTGACATCAAGGATATTCCCGCCGTTGGAATCCAGAATATTTCCGCTGTTGAAATTAAGGATATTCCCGCAGTTCGAATCAAGGATATTCCCGCCGTTGGAATCAAGGATATTCCCGCTGTTGAAATCAAGGATATTCCCGCCGTTGAAATCAAGGATATTCCCGCCGTTGGAATCAAGGATATTCCCGCAGTTGAAATCAAGGATATTCCCGCCGTTGAAATCAAGGATATTCCCGCAGTTGAAATCAAGGATATTCCCGCCGTTGGAATCAAGGATATTCCCGCAGTTGAAATAAAGGATATTCCCGCCGTTGAAATCAAGGATATTCCCGCAGTTGAAATCAAGGATATCCCCGCCGTTGAAATCAAGGATATCCCCGCCTTTGAAATCAAGGATATCCCCGCCGTTGGAATCAAGGATATTCCCGCTGTTGAAATCAAGGATATTCCCGCCGTTGGAATCAAGGATATTCCTGCTGTTGAAGTCAAGGACATTCCCTCTGTAGAAATCAAGGACATTCCCTCTGTAGAAATCAAGGACATTCCCGATGTTGAAATCAAAGACATTCCCTCTGCTGAAATCAAGGCCATTCCCTCTTTTGAAACCAAAGATATCACCATTGTTGAAACAAAGGCTATTCCATCTGTTTTACTCAAGGGCATTCCCATTGTTGAAATAAAAGAAATACCCGTTGTTGAAATCAGTGATAATCCAGCGGTTGAGATCAAAGAAATTCCTTGTGTTGCAATCAAGGAAAATTCCGATCAAACATTGTATGTCGCACCAGATTCAAAATCTATTTTGAACCAATCAACGTCTTTCTCTTCCTCGTTTTCTGACGGTGCATATGAGACACCGGAAGAGGAAATAAAAATTTCTCCAAGAGGTGTGCAAGAAAAATCGCCTGACTATCAGAACTTAATATATGAAGAGCCTTTAAAAAGTCGACGTCGTTCGTCTAGCTCTTCCTCCTCGTCCTCCTCGTCAGAATCTAATAGGTCACATGACCGGGAGACAGACGAAACCAAGCCGAAACTAAATGGAGAGCCTGACTTTGAAACCAAAGACACCGTCATAAGCGTTTCAGAGGGAAGCGAAATTCCGGAATGCGTGTATGACGTCATAGTTGTAAGAGGTAACTAATTTTTTCGATATTGTCAAAAAAGTGCTGTCCAGTCTCCATTTTTTTTATTATTCTACTAGATATTCGATTCCTACAAAAATGAATATAATATTATTTTCGAAGTGATTCGGTCAAATTTAAAGCAAAACGAGAAAATGTTTTCTTTATCTTTCTTTGTAAAACGTATAATGTTGTTTTGTAAAATTGTAATTTAAAATCTTTTATCATTCTTAGGATTCGAATTGTGATATAAAATATATTTAGATACGTGAAAGCTTTAATTAAACCCAGCAAAAGATTTTGAATATAAACTAGTTACCAATACATTAATTTGAGATACTCCCCTCTTAATAATTTGAAACTGTCTGTCTATGAACTACTTGTTATCGAATCGTTGACAGGAGATGACTTTATAATTTGAGTCCAATTATTTGTATCCAATTGAACAATGAAATGTGTTTAAATTCAAGACTTTTAAAATAAAATCGAAATTCTTTTACCTTCCTCATCATATCGCGATTCGGTGATATTCTGCACTTAAAATATGTTAAAAATATAACATGTATCTTCTATATCCAAAGCTGATGCCTTTAATCTAATTTTATCTATATTCCATTAAATACATGTAAAAGAAATTTAAAGAATTTGGGATTTTCTACTCGAGGAAAAAATCGAAGCGGTCATTTAGATCACATTTATAATGTAGGGTCAGCTGTATAACACGATGATGTCAACGATGACCTCATTTCAACCTTTAAATATTGTATTCTTCCTCATTAATACATAATAATGTTATGCTGTATGTAAAATGATAGTCTAAATGTTATCCAAAATAGGTTCATTTTGATTCATTTTGCATTTCATGATAATGAAAGGCAGATTTACATCAAGTGAATTTAAATGCTGTATCTGTTCCGATGTTGTTTATTTCGCCTTTTCTTTGGCCTTCCTCAGTAAAACTAATTATATAAACCCGCCATGTGTAATTACCTGGGGTCCCGTGACCTATCGGACACATGGCCTCAGGAGCGAGTCATAGACATCTGTTTACCTGTTGTTTTACATAGAATCGAGCCCAAACGACAACAGGTCGAACGACATCCCACCAACACCCCCTCCGAGAAGGAACAGGAAGACAAAGAAAAATAACCGGAAGTCATCCAAACAGAACCGGAAGTCTTCCACTTCCTCGTTATCTAGTCTGGACTGTTCAGAACCTGTCAAGACCGATATTTCATCACCGTCCTTCAGAAACAAAGATATCCAGAGTGTATATGATTCTATTTTAGAAGGTTTGTCTTTCAAGTTATTTTTCTTTTCCTTTTGCTTTCATTGCTTTCGGAAAAGACAAGATATAGAATTAAGCATATTGTATTCATGTAGAGAAGAATATATCATTTTTTTCTCGATTTTTTCGGAAGAAAATCCATTTTTTTTCTGTTAACTATTCATTTGTTTTAAGAATTATATATCCGATTTATTGAATTAATTAAGATATTTTTAGGGTGTTTACTCCATGTGTTTCTAGGTAGCTTGATTAAGGACAGAGACACGATCGACCTGGAGTTTCTGAGGCAACACCAAAAGGAATTTCCCAAAAGCAGGCGTATATCTTCAAGTAACTGTGATTCCGTGGAAGCTCAAGGCTCCATTATGGATACAAGGAGTAAGAAAGCGGCTCGTGATATATCAGGTGAATATTTGAATCAATATAAAGACATTCTAGTATTACCCAACAGTCTGAAACAGTTTCATATAAGATAAGTTATCCACACTTCTGACTTTTTATATGTAAAACGATCTTTAATGTTCCCACATGTAATGTAATGTTGGATGGTCACCAATTCCCCGATAGGACGTGAACATGTATTGGGTCACCTGCCCGACCACGTGGGTTTTCTCTTGGTATTCCGATTTCCTACCACTTTAAGACCCTCGCGCGCTTTCATCATGACCAACAAGAGTGATTAATTTAAGCTGAAATAACGTGGATCATAATTGTTGTAAATACAAATAAGTTTATATAATTATATGTAATGTCTGCTAAACATTGCGCTTTCATAAGCTATTCATTTATAACATAAGTTAAATAGTAAACATGGTCGATAACAATCTCGTGTATCTCTTTAGTGATTTGCCCTTTTGGAAGTTCATTGTACTGCAATGCATTGTGCGACGCACAATTCCGAAGATGCACGATATTTTAAGATCTGTTTTGTTTTTTACCGAATTTATATTTAGAGGTGTACGTATAAAATAAACAAAGAAAGCATCACACATACAAAGAAAGAAAACAAGAACGCACAACGCTCAAAACTATTTTTTATATGAGTAATTACATTAGTCCCCATACTTAAGATGCACTCATGAGATTTGATTATTATTCAAGGTGTCCAGATCAATGAAGTTCCACTGTATTGATGATCTAGAAGCGTATTGTTTATCATCTTTATCATGATTGAAGTTCTTCCCTCCTGTCTATGCTCTATGGATAAATATGAAATACGAAATTGAACAAAAGATTAAAGTAATTGTAATGTAAACAAGCATGTTTTTTTTCTTCTTCAATTTACAAGAAATTATGCCTGTAAACTTGCTTGTTATGTTTCCATTTTCTGCAGATGACGTCATCGCGCCGACAACAAAAGTTTATCCGCTCACAGAAAGTCCGACCCTTAGAGGAGAGTTATTGGAACAAAATTATCAATATAAAATTAATGGCAATAAAGAAGATAAGCATCGCCGACCAAGTAGGTCATCAAGCGAAGACAAGAAGAAACATCGGCGAAGTGACTCGTCATCAGATAAAGAAAAATTAGGCCGACCTAACAGGTCCTCTGATGTAGGCAAAGTTAAACCCCGACGACGTAGAACTTCGCAAGACAGAGACAAAAAGAAACATCGCCGACGCAGTTCTTCATCAGACGATGGCAAAATAAAAACTCGCCGGCGTAGCAGTTCATCAGACAAGGACAAAAGAAAAACCCGCCGGCGTAGCAGTTCACCAGACCAAGACAAAAGAAAAACCCGCCGGCGTAGCAGTTCATCAGACAAAGGCAAACGAAAAGCTCGCCGGCGAAGCAGTTCATCGAACAATGACAAAAGGAAAACACGCCGAAGTAGCACTTCATCAGACAAAGACGGAATGAGAAATCGCCGACGAAGCAGTTTATCAAACGAAGGCAAAGAGAAAATTCGCTGGTGTAGCAGTTCATCAGACAAAGACAAAAAGAAAAAGCGTCGACAANAAGACAAAAAACAAATCCGCCGAGGTAAATCTTCTTCAGATGAAGACAAAAAGCAGCCCCGCCGCCGACGTAAATCTTCATCCAGCGTAGACGAAATGAAAACACGTCGACCTTCCATACCATTAGACCAAAATAGTCTGAAAACCCGCCGATGTAGCTTATCATCAGACGAAGAAAAAAAGAACATCCTTTATCCAAATGCAAATTGTGATAAGATAATTAAGAAATCTCGGCCGAGTGTCCCCTTAGATAAAATGGACCAGAATATAGGGAGACCTCCAAAATCGAAGGACGACGAAGAAGAGGAGAACCGCCGACAGAGTTCCTCATCAAACGATGAAAAAAGGGGAAACCGCCGACTGAGTTCATTATCGGACGAGAAAAGAAGGAAGAACAGCCGATCGTTTTCAACATCGGACGAAGAGAGAAAAAAGAACCGCCGACCGATTTCATCATCGGACGAGGAGAGAAAGAAGAACCGCCGATCGAGTTCATCATCAGACGAAGAGAAACAAAAGAACCGACGACCGAGTTCGTCTTCAGAGAGGGACAAACAGAATAACCACCGACCAAGTTCATCATCAGATGAGGAGAGAAGGAAGAACCGCCGATCGAGTTCATCATCAAAAGATGGGGAAAGGAAGATCCGTCGACCGAGTTCTTCATCGGACGAGGAGAGAAGGAAGAACTGCAGACCGAGTTCATCATCAGACGAAGAGAAACAAAAGGATCGACGACCGAGTTCGTCTTTAAAGGGGGAGAAACAGAAGAACCACCGACCAAGTTCATCATCAGATGAGGAGAAAAGGAAGAATCACCGACCTAGTTCATCGTCAGATGAAAATAAAATGAATGACCGCCGACTGAGTTCATCATCAAAGGAGGAGAAAGGGAAGATTCACCGACCAAGTTCAACATCAGAAACAGAAACACAAGAAAAACGTCGGTCGATTTCATCTACGGCGTCGGGAATGGTTCGACAACCAAGTGAACAGACAAAAGATGACCTTTTAGGGGTGTGGCGAGATGACGTCAGGAAGGTCCGACGTCATCAGGGACACTCTGCCATAGTAGCTATAGACTTGGGCACAACATACAGCGGCTATGCCTACTGTTTCACTTCTGACCCCAATCAAGTGTTTATGATGAGGAAATGGGAGGGTGGAGATCCTGGTGTTATCAATGAGAAAACGCCCACATGTTTGCTTCTGACCCCTGACCTCGCGTTCCACTCGTTCGGGTTCACTGCTCGAAACACATATCACGACCTCGAGCCGGATGATGCCAATTCGTGGGTTTATTTCGAAAAATTCAAAATGAGGCTACAACAAGAATCTGTAAGTTGCATTAAGAACAAGTCTGTCTGTCAATTTGATTATAAATCCGGATGTTGCTGCTTTATAAATATCTTACATGCTAGTAAATAGTTTGGCCTATATATGCTATACCTTTTTATTATGTGTAGTCATTTTACAAAAAAGTTCCAAGGCGAGAAATCTAAATTGACAGCTCGTTTCGACTTCTTATTTAATAACAAACTTGAAAGGTATGAAATAATTCATTTATACTTATCCTCAGTGCTTGAATTACAATTATTCATCTAAAACATTTCTAAGCTATATAACTCAAAACACAATGGACAGGTATATGGTGTAAAATAGTATACAGCCTTAACTTTATGATATTAAGCTACTGTCTGTATAGTATATATAGTTTAATGATACATAGTCGCTTTGTTCATTCATGGTTGACGCACTATATTCGGTTGTTTGAGTGAAAATACATTTAATTATATAAGAAAATATTATGTTGGAATTTCTTCCGTCTAGAGATTGTATACCAGTACACTGTATGTCATGGATACTGCGAAAGGATATAAAATATTACAGATTAAATTATATTTTTTAATTATTGTGGGTTTTTTTGCTCTTTTTCTATTTTTTATTTTAAAAGCTTCACAAAAAAAAATTCCAAAGAATATTACTTTGACACAATTTTATATTTATCAAAGATCTTTCCTGGAAACAGAATGTCGATATTATTTATCTCAAGAGAGTATGTATCATTTTGTCTTATTCGATTTTTTTCCATCCTTTTGTGACTTAAGCTGTTACAAGGACACCAACTAACAAACAAATTGTAAAATAAATAAATAAAGAGAGGTCATACTTGTTTCCCCTAGGAATTGGGTACCGACCTCACTATCGGTGCTAGTAATGGCCGACAGGTGAAGGCCTTGTCTATCTTCTCATTGGTGCTCGCTTTCTTCAAAGACCACGCACTACGGGAATTGGGTGACCAGTGTGGCCGAATAGGTAATTTTTAAAACTTGTATAGGATTTTATGGTGATTGATTTTAAAAACTGCTGAAAATATGCAATTTATAAACTCATTTAAAATCATTTTGAGTTAAAATTTCTGTTTCCTCTATATTACAATTGGTAACTCCAGAGGACCTCCGAATACAATAAAATGCTGTCGATCAATAAGAATATCTCCACATTTACATCATTAAAAAGCGAGGAAATTCAATGTATAATGACCCTCTATATTGACAACAACACCACCGGAAGATATCCGATAGATATCAGTATTGCTATTTACGATATTCCTTAATATTTTACCAATAGTATTGACCGAAGACATCCGATGGATACTGACCGTTCCCGCAATTTGGCGGCCATCTGCTAAGCAGTTCATGAGACAAGCAGCATATGAAGTAAGCTACCCCCACCCCCACCCCCACCCCCACACACCTTTTTTTTTTGTTCTGACATACGTTGATGTTCTTTCTACTTCATAAAATTTCGTAAAAATGAACAAAAACTCGAAGGAAGGTTTCGAAAGCTTCAAAGCATCACAAAAGAATGACTGCTATGTTTGTTTAGCTGTAGAAACACGTTTCGCAAAATTACTACATGTACAAAGATACAAATCATTTAAATAGTAGAATTGCGATGATAGATCTGGGCCGACACAAAATTAATGGTGTCAATTTAAATCATCATAATGAACCTTTTAAAAGAGATCTTGAATTTTCGATCGTTCGCTATATTTCCCTGTGCGGTATCTCCTTATTATGAACAATTAACTGAACCTTTCTGATTCCCCATTTAAGGCTGGTCTAGTAGCCAACGATTATCCGGACCAACTGTTGATCGCTCTTGAACCTGAAGTGGCGTCAGTATACTGCCGGAAGTTAAAGCGGCATCAAACTCTGATAGATGTACCACGTCATGCGCCCTGGATGGGACAACCGTTTAAATGTTTGAATAAGGACTCGGCTGTTGATGACCACGTATCCGGTAAGATGCTACGTAACTCATGAATGTGTATGGTCATGTAAAAGAATTCCTGGTATTGAACAACACATTGAACAATTTGGTTTGGATGATCTTATTGTCAGACTGTTTTTTGACAGGTTGGATGTTCAACCATATAAGTTATTGTTGAAAAATATAGATTTAAACTGAAAACGTACTCGTTTGACATTCTTTATGACATTTATAAAATAATATTTCATGCTATGTTAACATTGAATTGATTTGCAGATGTGACATTTTTATCTCGAGAACAGTGGAAATCTCACGAGAGTTTGGAAACGGTCATGAAAGGTAGCATACATGCATGTAGCACAAACGCACGCGCATGCTCACGCATGCAGGTAGATGCACATGTGAAATGAATTCACTGCATGCCTGAACTGAAATGATATTCATCTATGTCACCAATTATAATAAAAAGAAATGCACGATACCACGGCACACTACGGAGTTTTTGTCAAATGTACACACGTGTTAGAGGTACACAGTATACCTGAAACCCTTTTTTCAAATATTACCTGTGACGAACTGGTCTCTTCCTTTCTTCTAACTTGACCGGGAATACGTGGTTCAAACCATATTAGTCCCCAGTCTAAAGTGCGTCCCTGTATTGGAGACCCTAACACATCTTTTTCAGATTCGAGGAAAATGATAGGCATGTTGTGTCCTACTTTATGACTGAAGGTGGCACGGTATTCTTCGCACCCAATCCATATTATGCTTAGAACGAAGGGAAATAACTTTTATAAATAGCAATGGGAGACAAACTGGTGTACGGATATGGACTATCATATGAAAAAGAGTTTCCAGAAAATGGACAGTAGTATAGCACAAGGAACCCTGGGATATATTGATAGAACACGTCACTTCCTTTACGATTGATACACACGTCATTGATGTGTGTGGTTTAGACCAAATGTTGTCTCGCATAGAACAAAACTGATCTGCTGACTATGTTGTCTTTATTTTTTGTAATCTATATTTTTTTTTACATTGAAGCAGTTCATGTTGAATTTTGTCTCATGTCCAGCTTAATTCCTCATCTCATGAGATCGACCAATGTAATGTAAAATCCTTTTGTTTCAATTAAAAACGTTCATTTACCTGGAAATTGCATAAGTCAACCATCAGATGCTACTTATACTTGAGATAAAGCAAGTCTACGTGTAAATTGTATGTTAATGATTCTCGAACCATTTTTAACACTATAACTAAGCATTGGAAACTGGCGTTTTCCCCCGGCGTGCTGTGTCAATTCAGAAAATAAAACCATACCTTACGGACTTGTACGAAAATAAATAAAATCAAGATGCAATAAAAGAGATATGCATTTACAATCAATAACAGTGTTCTGAGTGTTTAGAGTTAGGATAGACCGGGATTCGAACCCTGTACTTCAGGTTGTTGTCGCTTTACTATCGCTCTGACTGATTAATCTATGTAGTTAACGAGAGAGTCCTGACACAACTGTTCTAGGTATAGTCAATAAGAAATTAAAGGGAGGTAACCGTTTATATGAACATATAGTCCGTTGTTGAATGTCCATCGACATTGACCACAGCATTTTATTTTGTGAAGGTGTGAGGTACATGGTGGTGGACTGTGGTGGAGGGACAGTGGACATTACAGTTCATGAACTGGACAGCTCTGGACATCTGGGCGAGATATACAAGGCCAGCGGTGGAGCGTACGGGTCTGTCGGTCAGTAGTTTGAATTCAGAAGTAATTAATATTTGTTTGTTTGTTATGGTGCAATGAATAAAGAGGGAGAGAAAACAACGGGAAAAGGTTTTTTTCGAATTTTGAATCCCGGTTTCCCACTTTACCATAAAACAACTATTAATTATATCTATTCTACCACATCGGTAGCACGTGATTCAGTGTCTTCATAGATAATTTAATTATTTACATTAAGCTGTTCATGGTTCAGTTTGTTTGCGACACATGCTGAAGTTATGCAAGTAGGTCTACCACATCAATGTAGTTAGTTGATAACAAACTGAATGGTATCTTTTAGTGAAGCGTCTGAGAGTAAAAGAGAAAAGATAGGATTAGAGGATACAAAGGAATACGGTAAGCAATTCCAAAAGTCCGGCGCTGGTTCCAGGAAAACAATCCAAGAAGTCGTCTACTCAGCGCTCGGATCGAGCACCAATAGTACTAGACATCTCATCAGAATGTCATCCTTTTATTTTCTGTTGTAACTAGAACAATTGTTAATATATTTTTGGAAATATGAATGTTTGGAAAACCTGATATGCTTCTAGGAATGTTGCCCTGTTGTAGTTAGTCTTCCTTTTCACAGGTGTTGACCGCGCCTTTGTGACGTTGCTGGTCAGTATATTCGGACACGTCTTCATTGACCAGTACAGACACAAATGCCCTGCAGGTTGGATTGATCTCATGATGAATTTTGAAGCCAAAAAACGCTCCATGTTCCCCTACAAAGCATCGCCCCTTAATATCTCCCTACCGTTTTCATTCATCAACTTCTACAAGAAAGCCCACAAGCCGTTGGTAAGAACAGAAACAAACACTTTATATTTAAACAAGTGAACAGAAATTTATAAAACGAACAACATTTGGTTGAAAACAAACGAAACAGTACGTTATAATACAAACTAACTGTTATTCATAGAACAAACGAAACGAACAGGAAATTACGGAACGAATGAAAAAATAGTTCATGGAAAAAATAAACGAATGGTAATTTATTGAACAAACGAAGAATAATTCATGGAACAAACAGAACAATAATTCATCAAAGGGGCAAAGCTAATAATTAGCCAATTCACAGCGTAATTATAGTTGATGAGGGGAGAGAAGGCGTTTATGAACGATAAAGGAACAAACTGAATACTGAAATGACAGATTTTGCCAAATGAAACTGACGAACTTTGATCAGTCCTGGAAGGAAAAGGCAGAATGTAAATCATACAGAAAGGATAAATATAGTAATTTATGCCAAATTGCTTACACAATACAATGAAGTTTAGTCAGAACTAAAAGGGGGGGAAAAAGGAAAGAAAATGTAATTCGTACTGGAAGGTCTAAACGATTATATAATCCTTGACCCGTGTGATCCGGAGGTTAACAGCGATTCGGTTTATTTATTTGAATACTAAGTTTTATCCAGTTAACAACCGAAAATATATTGTAAACCAAAATGTCACACATAATAATAGTGTTATCTTTCTATTACAGCAGGGGAGTATTGAACACGTGATACGGAAGTTCCACGACAAAGATGTACAGTGGTCACCACAGGGCATGCTCAGACTAGCCCCGTACGCCATGTTCCGTCTGTTCGTCCCAGTCCTCGACAAAATCAAGTCAGCTGTTGGGGACGTGCTTAATAATCCTGGTGCTCGAGGTAGCTGGCTCACTAATATCCCCCACACAGAAATTTCGTTCACACAATTGAAGAGATCGAATTCCTACACCGAAACTGGATTCATTTCTCATGCATTGTAGAATTTTAAGTAGTAGCTACATTTGAAAGTGTCATCCAGTCAAACACTTCTTTATCTTTAATTAATTTCAAAGATAAACTAGATACTGAATAACGAAATTAGGCTTCCTCATGATCATAATAATAATAAAACACAAAATAAAATAAGAACAAACTTAAAAAACCCAATGAGGAATTGTTCGTTTTCTTTTATACTCCATCATCTGTGTTTGCAGATCTCAGATACTTGTTCCTGGTAGGAGGGTTCGCGGAGTCCGCCATCTTGCAACACGAGATCAGAAAGGAGTTTGGTGAGCTCGTGAATGTTGTGGTACCTTCCGGGTCATCTACGGTCATCCTGAAAGGTGAGAGGTCATGAATAGTTGGTCGACAATTTTGTTGTTGTAAATTGTCACCATTTTTCTTTTTCTTTTTCTTTTGATACAGGTATTTTGTTACCATTATGATACGTTTTCTAAAATTAAATATGAAGATATGACAGTGGTTTGCTTTTAACTAACAGCAAACCTTTTCATGTCGAAGTTAATAAGACCATGGACAGCAGGAGAGTCGAGACAACCAATGTCGTAATAACGAGGAAATAAAAGAATATTGTGAACTGTCTAACCAAAATTCAAGTTTTAAACCGTTGGATTTCACAAGCATTGAAGATATAACACTGTAATCTTGTCAGAGATACAATTCCTTTGTGAACTGCAAAACTTTGACATTAGCAAAAAAAATAATAATAATGTATATCATGATATTGTAATAGTCATACAAGTTACGTTTCCACATGCAGGGGCAGTCCAGTTCGGCCTTCACCCTGAGATAGTGGCGGTGAGGAGGTCCACGCAAACATACGGCGTGGGCATCCTCAACAAGTTCGACTCGGATAAGCATGTGGATGATAAGAAAGTGAGCAGGGAAGGACAGGATTGGTGCACTGACGTTTTCGATACCTTTATTGCAATTGGCCAGCCTGTTGCCGTGGGTGACGTCGTTCTGCGCAGTTATACTCCAGCGCAACCTGACCAAAAGGTCATCAAAATTAACATTTACTCAAGTGACGTGTTACTTCCAAGATATGTTACAGATGCTAAGGTGCGAAACTGCGGCTCTCTTACGCTCGACATCTCTGAAATAATGTCTGATGCCATTCCAAATACAAGAGAAATACAAATTCGAATGCACTTTGGAGACACCGAGATCAAAGTTAGTGCATTAGATACTTCAACTGGTCGATACGTGCACGTTGCCATCGATTTTCTACATGTTTAGTTTCGTATTCTGAGGACGTATTGGAGACAACATTTTACCGGCAAGTTAGCGTAGTGATGCTGTAAAAGTTGTTTTTCGCGGGGTTCGATTTTTCGTGATTTCCGCGGTAACATTGTTTATGCGAAAAACATGTCTTAAGAAATGGAAGTCAAGACTATCATAGCAGTGTTGACATCATCAATATACACTATTCGTGCTCTTTGCAATCATAGTTACATTTCTTTCATGTACATAAATGTTGAGATCATCCAATCATTATGTATGAAAAAAACCAATATCAAAATCACGCCGAGATAATTACGGACAAGAAAACTGGTGTGAACACGCGGGATATACCTTGTATTTAACAATGATTGGGATCCCCTTTACCGATAACTCGTGTAGGTTTTCTTACAGCGAACTCGGGTTCAACGAGTTTTATATTGGACTGTAGTGTCATATTTTTTGAGAAAACGGTTGTAGATAGTACCAAACACAGTGTTAAATGAAATATTTCACGAAACACAACAAAAATTGTTTCTAATTCTTTTTTGGCTCAAAATGTCGTTGGCTACCAAAACTATCACTCCATTGATAACCGATTGATAGTCATATCAAATGGTTATTTCTCAATTCAAAAAGATTGTGTAAGTCGCCCCATTAGTTTAAGTGAAATGAAAGATTCGTCATTTCAATTTCCCTATGATTGTCACATCAAACCACTTAAACATTGTCATGAGAACTGTACAATTATTGAGAAAGTTCCTTCGTATTAACGGGTAAATGTTATACAAATTACATGTTGGCTACGGAAGATTTCCTCTTACAGTTGACTCTTAAGAGTTTAAGTACCTAAAGATGAATGTATATGTTTACAGTTTATATTAAGAATATCAGTTCCTAGCGATGAACGTATATGTTTACAGTTTATATTAAGAATATTTAGTTCTTAGAGATGAACGTATATGTTTACACTTTATATTAAGAGTATTAGTTCCTAGCGATGAACGTATATGATTACAATTTATATTAAGAATATAAGTACCTAAAGATTAACGTATATGTTTACAGTATATATTAAGAGTATTAGTTCCGTATATGTTTACAGTTTATATTAAAAATATTTAGTTCTTAGAAATGAATGTATATGTTTACAATTTATAAAGAATATTTGTTTTTATGGATGAACGTTAATTTTACTATAAGAGTAACAAGCTATTGGAAATGAATACAACTATGTATTGAATGTATCATTCTTACTGAAAAACATAAACATATTCCCAGATATTATATTCGTTTCACACTATTAAATTATGTTAATTCCTTTTTTGAATTAATACAAATTTCGCTCAGCATCTATGTCATCCTCGATATCCAGGGTTTACGCTCACTTTCGCTATCTACACCCCTGAAATATGTCATAGTAAAATTGAAGGATCAGTCAGTGTGCGCCACCTTGTTAAAGAGACAAGAAGACTAGTTCTAACCTTTGATGTACATCAAAAGAACCTCGCGGTCAGGTAACGGTAAAAATGTACAGGCTTTGAAGTCGGGCATCTCTCCTTTGTAATCTTCAAAGGACATGTATCAGCCTAGCGATTGGTCAGTTATTTTTACCTGAAACCAATCAAACAGCTACCTTCGTGCCTTCGATTTTGTCATGACATATTCCAGGGGAGTAGAGAGCGAAAGTGAGCGTAACCCCTGGATATCGAGGATGAATCTATGTAGCTTTCTGAAATGTTGATGCAAACATTTCATTCTCTAATTCAACCTTCCTCGATACTCGAGGGGTTACGCTCACTTTCGCTCCCTGCACCCCTGGAATATGTCATTACAACAACGAAGGCTTGCAAATTGATTGGTTTTCAGGTAAAAAAAAACAACCTGACCAATCACTAGGCCGATACCTGCGCTTAGAAGATTACAGAGGAGCGACACACGACTTCAAAGCCTGTCAATTGTACCGTTACGCGGCCGCGCAGTTCTCTTGATGTTCACCAAAGGATCAAACCTGTTTTACTTGTATCATCTACACGATGACGCATATAGAACCTTCGATTTGGTCATGACTTATATGCCAGGGGTGCAAAGAGCGTAAGTGTTTATGTCCCCCGGAGTATCGAGGTAGTAACTGAACCTTGTTTTGTTTATGTATGTGTGTTGCGTGTATCGTTTATAGCGTAATGAGTGTTCAATAAAGTTCTGCTTTTTCCAGTTCTGACATAAGGTTATAGATAACGATTAAAGGACCCGGTATCTCAATTAAATGTAGTCAATATATAAAAAAAATGGAAATAAGTGTCAAACCACCCATACATCATATACCTCGTCATGTTATTCTTTATGACCAATCAGAGACTGTCTTATTCGTAAAGAACGGTCCCGTTAAACCAATCAAAATCCTCTATATTATTCCTTGTGTATTACTTACATGATTGGCAGGTGTTAATTAGAAAATAAAGATGACAAATAGCACAGTAGTTTTATTTTAGACGAAAGACTTACAATTAGTTTTTGTCTTGGAACTAAAGAACGGACTCCTGTAAGTCTATTTTAAGGTCCCTTGGTCGGTACAGCAATGTTCTGTTTATTACTTACGAAAAATCTAATGCAAACGTATGGTCGAAATTTGGCTTTTGGTGCTCCTAATATGATATGAGTAAATTTCATTAATTGCAAATCGAATTAAACCATTGAAAAATATTCAATTCTACCGTTTCGAACACTAAACTAAGCACATTGCATTTTAAGTGGGAATTATTATGAAACTTTGTTTCAATATTTAATACATTGTCAATTACGACAGGGGAACGAAAAATAGTTGTCTTATGAATATAAATATATGTTTTCGTCTTAATTGAAGCAAATTACTTATGATTGAGATATGTCCCCTGAACGTATATTATCATTCGAATTGTGGAGGAGGGAGAATCGGATTTTTTTTTAACAAAAAATAAAACCTTCGTTGCTTTTGGATTCTTTAATGATTGACATTTTAGACTGAATGTTGTTTCAAATGATTTTGTGGGGTCAACATTAAGTATCGGTAAAATTCACGAATGTTATGATTATTTTAAAATTGAATTTAGAAGAAAAATAAACTGACAACTACTTTAATATAAATGTAAAGTAAAACTATGCAGAATTCATTCTGTCACTTTTACACTGTTTTCAGATAATATACAAAGGAATGTTGCTTGATTGATTTTTCATGATGAAAATGTAAAATTGATAAAGGACGTATGAAGGTAAAATTTGTCGCACAAAAACCAACAAATAAACAAAGCTGAACAAATTAAACATTAATTTATGACGTATGTATAAAAATATTCTGTGTTGATATTGACCATTACTCCCCATAATAAACAAACGAAGCACAAAAGAGTTGATATAATTTGTAAAGAGTATCATTTTACATTTTTTCTATTAAAACGAAAGGAATGACATCAGTTTTCCTTTTCGAAATTGGTAACGGTAATTAGCACCCCCTGTCTAACTCCTTTTTTCTATAGAAACTACTTTGTAATAAAATAAAGGAAGCATACACAATTTTTTCGCTTTTTGAAAAATGAAAATATTTGTTATACAAGGTTTACAAAGTTCAGAAGAATTACTATGATTCTTCACATTATTCTATGATCAAGAAATACATCAACATTTTAATTGACTTTACTAAAAGCAACTTTGAAATAATAATATCAATAATAAATCACTTTGAATGAAAATTCAGGCTTTCGCTTTTCTCATGTGATAAAAAATGACCATATCTTATAAACTAAAGTAGATATTTTTCTGTAAATTGATGGTTAACAATCGGTTTAAGGGACATAACTCATTTATAAGGAAGTAATTGAAGAAATCAGATACTTTTGCCACGTTAAACACGACTTTTTGACCCCCTGCCATAATCAGGAAATTGTTTTTAATATATTTTCCTGTGATATGTTTTTTCGTGTATTTTACATATGGTTGAATAACTTCCGTTTGGATATAAGTGTGATACATTTGGTCTGGGCAGCTCAATCAGTTACTGTGAGAGTATACCAATCTGAAAAATCGGTGATTGGAATCTCGGTCTTGCTTCGCTGAATTTTTTACACTTAGAACTTTTTTTGTTGATTATATTTTGTTCATTGCATCTTTATTGATTTTCATAAATGCCCCGCGATATATTACTTCCGGTTCTATTGTCGAGGCTATAGTGTCTTTGCGTATTGCAGAGTTATCTTCTCTTGGGAGCAGGTATTGATTGTTACGTCATTGGTTTGTGCGAGAAAATTACGTCGTTTTCTCAAAAATTGATGACGTTATTCTCACAAACAAGTGACGTAACAATCAATACCTGCTCCCAAGAGAAGATAACTCTGCAATACGCAAAGACGGAATAAGCTAGTAAAGAAAAAACAAAACAGGTTCCAATACTTAGTTACAGTTTTGGCAGTATGACAAGGATCCCTAAGTAATTTACCCCTACCAATGTGAAACCACAAAAAGTCATTTCGATCGATTTTCTGCATGGATTACAAGATATTTACCAGTTATACTATGGCGTACCACACAATGTTTGGAGAAGTATTTAAAGTTCGCTCTATATCACATGATAACCTTTAGTATTCAATGGCGTAGCTACTTTGTACTCATTAAGCTATGACGTATAACACAACGTTTGGTGTAGTTCTTATTCCGTCTTTGCGTATTGCAGAGTTATCTTCTCTTGGGAGGAGGTATTAATTGTTACGTCACATGTTTGTGAGAGGAACGTCATCAATTTTTGAGAAAACGACGTAATTTTCTCACACAAACCAATGACGTAACAATCAATACCTGCTCCCAAGAGAAGATAACTCTGCAATGCGCAAAGACGGAACAGTTGTTTCTATATAGCATGATAACCTTAAGTATTAAACGACGTAGCTAAATAGGTACGCATTAAGCTATGATGTATTACACAATGTTTGGCGACGTCCTTATATTTCTTTCTATATAGCATGCTAATAATCCTTAACATTTATTTGATGATATAGCTAAATAGGTACGCATTAAGCTATGACGTATTATCATGTTGATGCAGTACTCAATATAGTTCTTTGTATATAATATGATTACTCTCGAAGCTTTTTGATGATACAATATAAATACTTGTACCCATTAAACTTAATCGTCTTACTGTGTGTGGTTCATCTTATTTTTAAAGTAAGTTAAATACAAATACAGTAATTGTGTGATTGTTGTTTTGGTAAATAGATAAATCATCGAGTACGTTCAGTTTATCACGGAATTAGATTAGAAGCTATCTAAGTCCGTGATTATATTTGCAATATGAATATCTATATTAAGGAATGAAATGGTATTACTATATTCTTACCTCTGCATAAGCAAGACACACTTTTACCTCATACGGTACTGTATAGACACGTGTAACTTTCATGCCAGCATTCCTGATCATCAGCGACCTGTAGTTCGGGAACTACATTTTTCCAGACTAGGAAGTACACGAAAACTAATCGTTTAAGTTAAATGGTTCAGTTCATCTTTTTGACTGACGTTATATGTGAAGCATGACGTCACAATATTATAAACGGTATCACGAAAAGAACAATTTGATCACTGGAAGCCTGTCTACCGTCCAGGTGCAGTCGTAACTATCATTGTTTTACGGAAATTAGCAAAGTCTGCTGTGCTTTCTTTTCAAAGAGATCTTTTGTTACACTATATCTTATCTGCTCTTTATAAAAACCTTTGTGTTGATTTAATTGTTATTTACCAGAATTCTGGAGAGGGAGTTGGAGAAAAAGAATCAACCATGTGGGATAAAGGGATATTCTAACATCATTTTCGGATATAACTCCCAATGATAACCTATGGTACAATTTCCATATAACGAATACCTAGATTTTTAGCGTAATAGTCACCTTGGCCAATTGAATTGTAATAAATCACAAAATGACACGTTATTTTGTGTGTGTGGTCATAAGTGAAGTAGAACAGATATAACGGGCACGAGGAAACCTATTGTTTATACCAAAAATACTGATAATTTCTGTGCGTAACCGAAAAATACTTAGAAATCTAGCACTGGTAAATAACAAACATCTAAGATATATATGAATCGGAATTATCTTAATTGTTTTTTATTTGTAAGAAGTTTTGATGAATTAAATCTGTTTATAACAATGCTTTCTTACCAACCATTGTCTTAGTTAAAACGTGACGTCATTCGGAGGGGATCTGACCAACTGAAGACGTCATGGAAAATCATAGGTTTTGCCGGAAGCGGGGATATTTTATTTCAATTGAATATTTCCCTGAGTGAATACGGTGTTTTCTGGTCGATGAGACAGCTCTTTTACATTGACCGCGCCGACAAAATGCTGGTTCCTTTGCTGGAATTAATTCTATTGACGGTATTGTTGCAAAAGACATCAGGGGACGCGTTCAATTGCTCATTTCATAATGCAGTCAGAATCAAAAGAGGTCCTCATACAGTGACTTTAACATATAATATTTCGGTAATATTTGGCAAAAGTTTTCGGAACGTGACAATTAATGTCGATATCAAGTCGACACAATCACCAACGTAACCGTAATGTTGATGTCTCATTTCAAATGGTTGCCAGTGGGGAAAAACCTGAATACAATTAAAAAGTAATACGTTTTGGATTTATTCAAATATCACATTTAACAGGTAAACTCTTCATCGAACAGTCGTTATATGGATTTAGCAAAATATAAAAATAAAGCATCACAAAGCATCAATTAATAAGATATTATGCAACATAGTCTCGCACCAGTATCACAATAACTAAATTTTAGTGTAGTTACTTTCAGTATTATTGGTGGTATGTTAGAATCGGCAACCTTTGTAATTATCATAACTTCTAATATTTCTGCGACAGTTACAACCAACTGTGTCCAACTTCAAATGACCTCTTTTTTTTAATTTACAAAATAACTCGCGAACATTTTTCAAAATACATTTCAAACCCCCGAGATAAAAGGCGAGCTGAGAACCTTTTTGATAATACGCATTGGACAAAAATGTGTGGACCCCTAACTAATGTATATATACGTACATTGTACAAAAATGTATGGACCGCTAACTAATGTATATATGCGTACATTCATTGTACACAGTTTCTAAGGATATATAACAAATCAATTTGAAAGCAACATACAAAAGCTAAAACAATTTGTGACATGGATTGTAACCACAAGAGCTAGCAAATCATTCATCATGAAAACCGAGTTTACAACAACTCTTTGTTCCTTTCCATTTAAAGCTAGTGAACGAGTTTACAACAACTCTTTGTTCCTTTCCATTTAAAGCTAGTGAACGAGTTTACAACAACTCCTTGTTCCTTTCCATAAGCTAGTAAACAAGTTTAATTGATTGGGCAAATACTGTTATGTAGTTAAAACCGTCGTGTTATGCCAGTAAAGCACATTCTAATGTCATAAAGCAAAATATGGGGAATGGTCACCAGTTAAAACACTTATCGAATCGCGTTCAAAAATACAAAAATATAATAACCTATCTAGTTTTCATACTGTTATTAACATCCGTTTTATGACAGGAAAAATATTGAGAATGGGCGACATTCATCAGGGGCTGTCTGGTAAAGACATGTTGGTAATACAATGTCAGTTTTATAGTCGGGGAATTTAAAACAAATACGAAACCCTCAAAATTTCTTCAACACTTAAATGAATTACTATAAAATTTGTTTTGTTCGTGGGGCTCTAATTTTCGCGATTTTCGTGATGAAATTCTTCCGCGAAAATGACAACCCGCTTAAACTATATTCATTGTATCAGCCTTTCTAAATATTTTCTTTCATTGATAAGATGTGACTTATAGATATTCAATAGCTATATAATCGTACAGTTGGCTGTGAAATATATTGAATGACGTAATTTGTTCATGGAATGGTTTACATTAAATGTTATATCAGCAAGCGTTTTGTTAATAACTGGAGGTAACGATTTATGTTTTAAAAACATTCAAGGATTTCCTAAAGTACCCAAGGGTAGTTCCACACTCGTTTGAAGAAAATCATCAACAAAGTCGTGTGTTCATGTGAAAGTCCGTTTGAAATTAGAAACTGGGAAAGTAGTATATACAGTGATATAGTAAAAACAAAAATTCAATAAATGTGATAACAGCAATTAGGGAATTATCCAAACAAATTATAGATTATTCCCCCAGTGACACCGGGCATTATAGAAGTATTGCGATCACATACTGTACCTAGGAGTTGTAGTAGTATTGATGTTTGTGATCACATACTGTACCTAGGAGTTGTAGTTTGTGATCACATACTGTACCTAGGAGTTGTAGTTTGTGATCACATACTGTACCTAGGAGTTGTAGTTTGTGATCACATACTGTGCCTAGGAGTTGTAGTTTGTGATCACATACTGTGCCTAGGAGTTGTAGTTTGTGATCACATACTGTACCTAGGAGGTGTAGTTTGTGATCACATACTGTACCTAGGAGTTGTAGTAGAATTGATGTTTGCCATCACATACTGTACCTAGGAGTTGTAGTAGAATTGATGTTTGCGATCACATACTGTACCTAGGAGTTGTAGTAGTATTGATGTTTGCGATCACATACTGTACCTAGTATCATATCATGAGATACTTTGTCACTCATATCCGTTAAAATTGCAAATATATCAATTAAATATTTACACCAACAATATACAATTTTCCAGAGAAATAGTGTTTACAAGCGTCTACAAACACATTCAGTTTCAAATGAGATATCGTTTTGCGAATTTGATCACAAGTTCAAATAAAATGAGAAAAAACTTTAAGACATATAGAAATACATGTATACAAGATGTATGTACACCAATAGCAAATAATGCAGCCTCAAGTATAATCACAGAAATATTCCTGAAAATTGAGTGTTCAACAATTATTATAAAAGTAACATGTGACGTAAATAACTGATCAAATAACTGATCGCACTGCCAAATCCTTGTGTAATGTAGCAAATAGATTGTTGTAGTACTATTAGAGCGAAAGTGGAAAAGTTGACCTAACCTGTATCACATTTATTACATTAACACTATTTTTAAGCACGCAACATGTGATGTACGTAAACAAAAGCGAGCCGAACTGTTAAGACAGGTGAAATACAGATTCCCTCCAACAGGCCTATCGGATTTTCATTTGTACAATCAAACCGTTTCTGTTGTTAATGCTATTTTACTTGGTTTTTTGTAGTTTTCAATGCATATATTTACACCTTTTTGCTTATTTCTATGAACTTGTCTTTGCTGTCTTAACGTCTCCAAGTGACACTCTTGGATCATCCTCGATATCCAGGGGTTACGCTCACTTTCGCTCTCTGCACCCCTAGAATATGTCATAGCAAAATAGAAGGCACTAAGATAGCTGTTTGATTGGTCTCAGGTAAAACAAACTGACCAATCGCTAGGCTGATACCTGTCCTTTGAAGATTACAAAGGAGAGATGCACAACTTCAAAGCCTGACTAATTTAGTCGATAGTTTCGAAAATTCAAAGCGTGGAATTTACTCACCGGCTGGTGTTTTATTTAACATAAGGAGCAGAGACAAACCAGAGTCACAATTTATTTTGGTAAGTGTGAACTGTTTTATGCCTTTTCTAGCTACCATTTGATAAGTTCTGACATTATATATACAGGGTTAAAACGTTAAAGTTATAAATTCTTTGGCGTGACACACACATCAAAAATGTTTTGATGAGGATAATATTGTCAAGTTTGGGATTTTCTAAAAGTTCGCGGCACAGCTGGCAAGTTCTGCAAGTGACACTTATCACGTTGTGAATTAAGCCTCCTTCCAAACGAACATGGGCGCCATCTACTACTGAGTACACAAGGCGAGGTTGGTTGAATATGTCGTTTCCGAGATAGACCTACAAGTTTCCGGAACAAACCTCACATGATTTGGCAGTCACGTGGTACATAAGAGGGCATGTATACTTCCAGTATGAAGGTAAATCAGTATCTAGCCTACTTTGTCAAAGCAAAAGATTGGTAAATTTGGACGAAAATATACAAAATTTTACATCGTTCATTAAAAGGATATCTACTGACTAGAACCCTCTTTTTTAAACATGCAGTCTGAAATCGTATACCAATGTTTTTGCATAACGTTAATGTGAACGTCAGATTTAAGAGTTAACCGGAAATATACATATCCCTTTTCCCCCTATCACTTGGCATGTTTATCTAAATTCTGGTCAAATCCGGAAGGAAAAGGAATCCGAAAACGACGTATTATTTGAAGTTTTTGTAAGATGGATGATGGAGATAAGGTTGCATCAGTGTCACTTCACAGTTTGGTATGTTTACCATGTGATATTCATACATAAGTTCCTCTAACGAATCAGCATGAGGCCCATCTCTCTTCAGGAAGAATTGGTCTTTCTGAAAAAGAAAAAAAAATAGGACCATTATTTGCAAACTAACAATATTCATTGAATTCAAAGCCATATTTTTCTCATGAATACTGATCATATGCAGCATTCCTTCACATTTGAATAAAGCCCCAGGACGTTTTACTTTGTTCCTCGTATCATCATTCTAGAAACCGTGAATTTCATAAGAAGTTGTCGGATTTGAAGAAATTTAGCATAACCGGTCGAATTTGTGAAAATCATATATTTTAGTGTTAATGAAAAGGATGTTTTGGTATTTAATTATCCAAGATAATTGATTATTTATATTAGAACGATGACTGATTTTCCAATATGATTCAATACTTGTTTCATAAATCATTTATCCTGTAACAGGAAAGAGAATATTGTGTTTCCACTGTGAATCGAACCCTCGATCTCCAGGTTTCTAGTCGGACACTCTACCACTGAGCTAAAGGGAAATTCACCGCTAGCTCGAAACTAGAAGGCGACCTTAATCCTATGTATAATTAAAACCTGCCACACTACTCCACCCTTTTAAATGTGTTCACCCTCCATCACCACAACCCAGGTTCTAACTCCCAGTCACAACAGGGAGGGCCACGGACACCATTTGTAACAGGCAAGAGAATAGTGTGCTTCCACTGGGGATCGAACCCTCGATCTCCAGGTTCCTAGTCGGACGCTCTACCACTGAGCTAAAGGGAAGTTCCCTCTAGCTCGAAGCTAGAAGGTGACCTTAATCACAATTAAAACCTGCCACAATCCTATTATCTGACAAATATGTTCTATGTATGTTAGATATAAGATTTAAATGTATGTATATTAACAGAAGAAATTGCATTGATAACACTATGAAAGCAATTGGATCAGTGATTTTTACGCCTCTCGTCTCGCCTTGTCTAAACAAATGAATGCCGTAAGAAGTAAACGTGAACATAACGGAAGCTTTTTTCTAGGAAGGTGATTTGTAAGAAAGATACAAAACTTCAATGGTGTAAATATAACGAAATACTCATGTTCAGTTTAATAATAGCTACAATGTTTGAGTGTAATTATACTGCGGTATAGTTGGTAATTTTCGCTGGGAGGTTAATTTCGCTTTATTTGCGGTCACCAAAGATAGCGCTAAATTAAATAACTAGCGAATATCAAAGGCATGTTTATCCTTTTAATGCCGAATAATGACGATAAAACAACAACTCAATATCGTAGTTTGCATTATTTTGATAACACAGTTGATAAATAAATCCCTTCACCTATATACAAAGGTATCCTTGAGAGCCCAAATTTTCTATCTACCGGTATCAATGATGCACGAAATTTAATCCCCGCGAAGAATTTCTGATCAGGACAACCACGAAATTAACAACAACAAACTTTAACATTCAAAGCTGTTTGTTCGCATTGTAATGTAACTAAATTGCGTTCATACCATCATGAATGTTAAAAACGTCATTCAATGCCTATGTAGCATCACCCCTTCCACTGTGACGTCATAAGTAATAAACTTGTGAAAAAATGTCAGTTTGAAAATAATCATATATAATATGACATCAAACTTCAATGAATATAGACATAAATAGATCATGGAATAACGAAATCAAGAACAAGATTAAACATGATTAACGCATAAATACTTACCTCTTGCTGGATTTGATATTTCTTTAAACTTTTTTCTGCATAGACAAGTAAAACCTATAAGAATTAAAAACAAAATACAGAATGTAAGGCACATAAATATATCAAATGATAATATGAGATGATTTAAGCACCGTAATATTACTCTGTACGTTTTGTACATTTTGAGGTGATTAAAACTGTTTCTTTTTAAGTCACTGCTATGTAAGTACAAAGTCATACACTGGTACAACATTGTGGGTTATTGATTCAGCTTAATTTCTGTACTGAATATATTGAATGAAAACATTCCATATAGAGGTATATAACTGTGAAAAATGAAATGTCAAACATCGAATATATCAAATTGTCAACATGAAATTGGTTACGGCCCCCACCACACCTCTCAAATAAAAACAAAGCACACACAGCAGAAGCTACCGGTATTAACTGAAGAACAGACGTGACGTCATACACCATTTTGGAAAAGAAGGCGTTTCCTGCACCACACTTGGCACCCGTCATCAAGCCACAGGAAATGACGTAGAACACCAACGCTCTAAGGAACAGTAGGAAAGGCTTTAATCAAGCTTAACACTGAAATCTCACATCTCGAAACAAGTCTTGTTGAAAACCTTAAATATCATTGGCGTATATTGCAGTTTTTGTTTCGGTAGAAAACCCTGTGTAGTTGGTCGCCATTTATAAATCATATATGGATGATAATTGAAAAGACCATATGGACCAGGGAATGCTTGCTTTGTTTGGCTAACGTTAATGTTTTAATAGGTGTTTCATTTCTGCGAAATTCTATTTTTAAGTCACAGGGTGGCTGACACTAGCTGGTCTACCATTTCTTGAGGTTGACCTTAACCATGTAGCTGGACTACCAGTCCTCGAGATTGACCTTGACCTTGTACCTGGACTACCAGTCCTCGAGATTGACCTTAACCTTGAAGCTGGACTACCAGTCCTCGAGATTGACCTTGACCTTGTAGCTGGACTACCAGTCCATGAGATTGACCTTGACCTTGTAGCTGGACTACCAGTCCTCGAAGTTGACCTTAACCTTGTAGCTGGACTACCAGTCCTCGATATTGACCTTAACCTTGTAGCTGGGCTACCAGTCCATGAGATTGACCTTGACCTTGTAGCTGGACTACCAGTCCTCGATATTGACCTTAACCTTGTAGCTGGACTACCAGTCCTCGATATTGACCTTAACCTTGTAGCTGGACTACCAGTTCTCGATATTGACCTTAACCTTGTAGCTGGACTATCAGTTCTCAAGGTTGACCTTAACCTTGTAGCTGGACTACCAGTCCTCGAGGTTGACCTTGACCTTGAAGCTGGACTACCAGTCCTTGAGGTTGACCTTAACCTTGTAGCTGGAATGTATTCTGACACGGTTTACATGAAATATCAGTTTAAAATCCCCCGTGGTAACAAAAGGTGCAAGGAACAATTTGTTTTGCTGATTTTTTAGCATTTGTTTCTGTCCTGCTCCTTCTGCCTGTTTGGCCTGTAGTGCCACAGATGAGGGTAAGATGGACGAAATGGATATACGGTACAGTAAATGTTTATTTGGTTCGGTTTTCTGCATTGACAGGTGTTTCTTCACTTCCTATTTCTTGTGGATTTTTCATGACAATAGGACCTATCAAACAAGCTCTGTAGTATCAATTCAGAAACTAGTATGACATGTTAACTCCATAAACAGGCGATAATTGTATATTACTATTGAAGAAAGGGAAGATTAATAATATTCATTCTGTGCGACACACACCATCTTAGCTTTAGGAGATATATAGACGTTTTTTTAATGTACATGTATACCTACCTTGCCTCTTCTGCCATCACGAACTAAGAATGTGCCTTCTGTTTCAAGCTTCCTAATTATCCTGTAAAATGTCATAATCAATGACTGAATTAATTGCTTTGGAAATAAAAACCAAACACAAAACAAACAAACAAAACCAAAAGCCCCTCCCCCTCCAAAAAGTAAAGAAATAAAAAACAACAAGAGGCCCATGGGCCTTAACGGTCACCTGATATATTTATACAGAGAGTTGATTTTGTTTTTAACATGAACAGAAATATTATTCAAAGTGACCAAAAACAATAAAACCACCTTATTCAATCATACAGATTTCAGACTAAAAAGTATTTGAAACTAGCACCTCTGATTCTAAACAAGGAAAACGAAGAAATTTTTAGCACACTGACTCCTTTGAGCCCCACCCTACAGCCCTTGGGGGTAGGGCTGGCTCAAAATTTTCAAAGTATCAAACTGTCAACTCAAGGTTATAATTCCAATCAAGTTATTAACATGTAATATTCAAAGTATCATTTGCCATTATAAACCATAATAAATTTTGCCCCCCCCCCCCTCCTTCCCCAGGGGGTAAACGTGAGACCATAGGGTCATAAACCTTAAGACCCTTCCATCTATGAAGAGTATTTGATTCTACCATATCTGGGTCTTGAGAAGAAGATCTTTGAAATTTCAGTCAATTCAACCCTTTTTGGCCCCACCCCTCAGGCCCCTGGATGCTTGGGACTAAACCGGCCACTATTTTTGTTGACCTTTGTCCATGGAAGGTTTCTGCAAAATTTCATTGAAATTGGTTCAGGGGTTTTGGAGAAGAAGATTTTTGAAATTTTAGTCAATTTGACCCTTTTTGGCACCACCCCTCAGGCCCCTGGGGGCTTGGGACTAAACCAGCCAATAGTTTTGTTGACCTTTGTCCATGGAAGGTCTCTGCAAAATTTCATTGAAATTGGTTCAGGGGTTTTGGAGAAGAAGTCAAAAATGTATATTGTTTACGGACGCACGACGGACGACGACGAACAAAAGGCGATCGCAATAGGTCACTGGAGACTTTGTCTCAGGTGACCTAAAAAGTCTGAGGTAATACAAGTTTAAGTGGAGAAGACTAGATGTTATAAGATACGTTGCTTCATTCAAGTGAGTTAAAATTGAAATAATACTGAAGTTTTTAAACAGAAACCTTTCAAAGAGAGGCATCTAATATCAAAACACAGGAAATGTAATCTTCGTTTTGACCTTCGTCATTTCTGCATATTTATCGAAAACAGGACTTTCAGAATCGGTTCAAAGCTGAAAAAAATGTCCTAAATAAAATCCCATTTGTAGCCTTAGAAATATATCAAAATCATAACATATCTATTGATTACTTTAACAACTCTACAAATATCTAACAACATTTCTGATATTTTCATTATAACACCTTGGTATTGGAACTTGATATGAAACTATAATGTCCAATAATAATTTAAATGGCAGCCGTCCTTACTCAAGCTGTGGTCTCGTTTTCCCAACTCAACTTATTAGTACATCATATGACAACTTATTCCTCATAGTTTTACATATGTTTCTTTCGGTTTTCTCAACTGTTTTAAATAAACTTGACTTGTTCCGTTTCGAGTGTCATGCAATTTAGCCGTCTGCTTTACATAAGATAAGAACAACGTTGGTGACGTTAGAATCAGATGTGGTTGCTTAAACATTCACGAATATACAGGATAACGACAGTTGTGAATTTGTTGACCTATCCTCATTATAACGATATTTAATCTTTCTTTTTCCGTAAGAAAACATGCATAAACTGTACATGACAATAAAGAAGTTACGACCCTATGATAACAATTCTGATGAAAACAGCTCACTCTCGAAATTATAATTTGTAAACTAAGGAGTAAATATGTAATTCTTCTGTTGAGGATTGTGATCCCTCCTTCCTCCAGTATTCTCTGTATACTTATCATCATAATCAAATTTTCCTGAACTCCATTTCTGCTCTTAATGATACTATTCCATTAAATACTAAAATTGATATGGAGCCTTTGATATCCAGAAAGGACGTGAAAGACTCGATTTCAATATGAATATAATAATTCTGGAGATGGTCCAGAGATTCATTAAATACACTAGATGTTTTTACTTGATTACCGTTATATGTTTATCTATTTCCACATGACTTTGCTGTGTGGAATGATCTAGCTTCTGTAACAACGTTTTTTAAAAACAAAAAGAGGGCGCTCATAGACCTTGCCTGTTGCCAAATCCCTTTTGTATCGAAGATAAATATAATCTTGCTTACTCGCTGGCCTTTTCTGGATCAGTGTCGTTGAAGTGAATATCGTCCCAATATGAACCTTCATCCTGTCAACAAACGACATACCCGTGCATTGGTATTTGTATATATGTAAAAATTAAACATAAATGTTTATACATTTGGAAATATAGATACTTCCACTGACAGGTAAGAGCGATATGAATCTATCTAATCTTTCGCCAAAATTGAACCCAATAGATTTATACCTGATCAGCCTCGGCTTAAACGAGATATTATTTTTGCATGATGTGAAGATGTATTAATAAAATATTTAATGTTGTATGGGTGACACTGTCCAGTGTCTGTCATCTATCATCGTAATACTTATTTTCATTATAAATGACCTTCATAACTCATTCACCCCTGAAGACACATTTGAACTCTTCCAATTCAAAGGTTGGAATAATTCATAAAGAAACTTCAGGGGTGAATGAGTTAAGGAACTGAAACAGCATATCAATACTATTTGGGTAGAGGATATTCGAACCCCTTGGTCTTGTTCCTGTCGGGAATCCCTTTCATCGACAGCCGGTTCCGGTTCTGGTTCTGGTTCCGGTTGCGGTGTTTTAGCTCTGAAAAATAAGAATTGTACTGTTAGAATGAATTAATTCTAGATCATTAAATGGTGCATGTACATAGTTCTGGAACTTGGTGAACATGCATAATGCTAAGAATGTAAACTAGTAGCGAGAACGAGATTTCTCCAAAAGTTTTACTATTTTACAATTAAAAGACTTTTAAAATATTAAAATAAAACTTACTTCTCGTACGGATTTGGCTCCGGTCCAGTCTGAAAATAGTCCACATTGAAATTTTGAAAAATTGAAAAATCAGTTTGCAGCCGCATAACTCACTGTCAGTAAAAAGCGTCGACGAAAATATTTTCGCAATTAAGGTTCATTCACTTACTTATAGTGATTTAATTTTCAAATTAACTTGTAAAAGGACAAATAATCATTAATTATTCCTGATCAAAATTTGAACATAAAAATGGCAATTTCAGAGAGCTGTTATATGCAGTAAACTTCCTTTGTTATTACCTACCCGCCCATTGTGTGTTTCGTTTGAAGTTTTTTTTCTTTTCTTGTGACCTATTAAGTAAAAGTTCTTACAGATTAATCAATATCATAAATGCAGTAACGTTTTTTCACATAATTTTCAAAATCATTTAGCTTACAATGCATTGGAGACAGTAAACAGATGAGAACTGTCATTGTCCATCGTGTTTGCCCTACATTTTCAGACTTTTTGTAAGCAAAAGATATAGCTTGATTATCGAGATATTTAGTATTTGTTATAATCAGAATGTTACCTTTTGTTTCAATGTTTTCCTTGGTTTCCTTTCGAGGGGGCACAGACGGAGGACTATCAGGCGTTGATGGAAGGGGACCCCTACTAAGTGTGTTGGAGCTAGGCCCCGGAACAACTGGGAGGGCAAGGCCCAATGCTGACATGCCCGGAAGTGGCTGCTGTGGCCGGTTGCCTCGGGCTGGTGGTAGTTCCGGAGGACGCGCGGCAGGTTCGCTGGGTACATCATCCTCGTCGTCAGATGCTTTGGGAGAATGTTTGAAAATTAAGCTAACAGCAATTTACATTAAACAATTATTTTGCTGGTCTCTTAATTGTACTTGACCTGGAGTTGACATGAAAAACTAGTTTGTTGCCAACATGACAAAGAGATGACCGAACCATTTTGACCCAACTTTATTTTACAGACATGCACTCGTAACAAAGCGTAGGGCTTCCTATTTCAATACAAAAGACGTTTTGGTACTCCACTTTGTTGGAAAAGTTGGGGAATACGTGTCTTAGTTTGGCCATACGTCTGTGTTTCACTCATTTCTTTTCAAACAACAACTCTCTTAAACACGTACGACAGCTAACAAAACTTACAATATCAAGGTTAATTTTTAATCAAAGAACGCAATCTGTGCATATTTAATTGCGTTCAAACTTTGATTGTGAACGACTTACAAATTCCACACTTATCTATAAATCATCAAGTTATTGCCGTCAAAACTTGTATGCACTTTAGCATTGTATTTGTTCAGGATTTCTTTCAAGACTATAAGAATCCATGTATATTTGATAAGGATAGTAGGATATGGCAACGTCCTGAAAGACAAATGCGCTATTGATGCATTTCAGTCGGAGGTGGGATGTGCTTAGAATAATGACACTGATCAGTCAAGGTGTGAAGATAAGCACGGAATACATTCATGTTTTAAGGACTCGCACAACTAAATCAGCCAATCAGCAAGTGTCTCAAACGTTTGTAGTTCCTATCTGAAATAAGTTCCGGCTAATTACTGGGCCACCGAAGGAGTTTAATAAGGAACTGATGACAGCTGTTTAGATAAATGAAATGTTCAGGTATTTAACTTATGAAAAATATATACTTTTGATATATTTCCATGTCTGTGTGCGGATTTGCACAGGGGCAAAATGTCTGGGGGTGTTTCTGTTTTGGGTCACCGGTTTTGCTTGTAAACATCTGGTTGTCAACTTCTTGTGACACTCCAATATGCCACTAAACCTACCAAAAAATGTCATTTTGTAGCCTTTGCAAGGTATGTATTTATGAATCTAGACAGTTGTCACTAGTTTTGAACTGAAAATACTAAAGTTATTAGCTAAATTGTTTGGTAATAACATATAGTAAATGATTTAGTTGTGGGAGTCCTTTAAGGGAAATAGCCATATGTGCTCAATGAACCTGACCAGCTCTCACACATTTTCTGTGTGTTTCCAGACACTTTTTAAAAAAACTTAAAAATGCACTTAAATCCATGAATTTCCAGAACCTGACTGGAACACTAACAGATTAGCTATTTACTTGTCACCCTTCTCATTTGTAACTCTAGATCTCTTTCTTTCTGATTAGGATAGCACATGTAAGGGGAGATATCTCAAACTAGAATCTCTCTTTATAACAACAAAGATGGCGTCCGACACACACAAGCGTTTGAAGTTTGCCATTTATTCACTGGATTATATAGCCTACAAGCAATCTAAAATGACATCAAATTTAACAAAAAGGCAAATGAGGGGGCCGCTCGGGTGAAAATTACAAAGATGGTTCAGGTTGTGTATTGTCCGAAATATTGCCGTAAAGGTGTCCGGTAGGACCACTAGACCTTTCTGCCCTTTAGAGCTTCTTCAGGCGGTCTCATTATCAAATTATATAATTTAATTAGGTATTATTCACTAATCAACACTAAATTATTATGTGGAATTAACATTAATTCATTACTCATTATTAAATTTTAATTGTTATATTTTTTAATATCAATATATTTATTATTATATATTTATATATATATACAGCAGTAAATTGACCCTTACGGACGAAGTTCTTCAAATAAATAAAGTTGTTGTCAAGTCGAACCATAAGCATATATTTATATATATACATATATATGCTAATAATAATAATCATTTGAGGTTCTTATAAACCGCTTTATCACAACCTAGTTTGTAGGTCGTCTCAAAGTGGTTCACAAATTATCATCCCTGGTTATAGGTTATATATTCCAAATAATCGCAAAGTAGAAACCATGAGCCATCAAAATATTGGTAAGAAGTTTAAAAAAATTACTGATGAAGCAGTCAACCAATCAGAATTTGCAAAACATAGGAGCCAAAAGACTAAATAATATACCAAGCTTTTTTCAAAGATATTACACGGAAAGCCATCAGCTAATCAGAACGCAGATGCGGAATTGTCTGAACATCGAACCAGAGCGAAAGGCTTGAATAAGTAGTACACCAGGCAAACTCGATCGAAATCCACCCTTTCCTTCAAATGATAGACTGATAAGCTGATTACTATATATAGGGCTTCAACGTCTAGATGCCAGGACCAAATAAGGAAACAGCTATTTTCTCAGCTGTAATTGGCAGACACATTCTGGACAATAATTTCCTTAAATATCGAGGAGGACTTTCAGTTCAACTGTGTGTGTGCTTGCATCAGACAATGCTAAAGGTAAAGTTCAAATATGAACAGAATTCATACATATCTAATAAGGACACAAGCATTTTATCAGTTCTGATTGTTTGCTCATCTCGAGGAAAAAGTTTCCTAATTTGTATAGCTTATCACTAAATTTGGTGTGTATTTGAATAATGCCATTACCCACAGCTGAGTGACAAACAACGGAAATTTGTACATTATTAATTAGGTTATAAGGGGTTCTCCAATTCCTATTGTCTGATATTTTTCCTAATCATGAAACGGTTTTCAACAAATACAGATAATGGTTGTATATTGTACGTAACCTTTCCAACAGAGTTTGAAGATTGATGATTTAATGATGTGCCTTCTTGTTTCTTATTGATTGATGCATGCTTTCCAGATATACGAACATATCACAGCTAGGGATGTGGATCTAGGCATTTGCTAGTTAAGCTGAAGCCCTTGATTAGCCTTGAAGGATTATTGATTATTTTTATTTAGCATATCTGCATAATATATATAATGCTATTTTTGAATCGTGAAATACCACTGACTATAACGTTTCAAGCTCAGTGACATTTATATGTCAATTGGTTACATACATGTATTTCCATAGTGATATATTTATATTCATCGTTGAGAAAACAAATAGAAGATGAATAACAAGTAGAAGAAGAAGAAGAAGAAGAAGAAGAAGAAGAAAAAGACAAATAATAAGAAGAAAGATTTATTTATCGTTTTTCAAAAAACAAAAATGTTGAATTAACGATGTTCCTTGGGTTTGCACTATGTTTGTGGCTCCCTTGATCCAATCAGCTAGACATTACAGGTTATATCTAGGTACGGATATCTAGACATTACAGGTTATATCTAGGTACGGATATCTAGACATTACAGGTTATATCTAGGTACGGATATCTAGACATTACAGGTTATATCTAGGTACGGATATCTAGACATTACAGGTTATATCTAGGTACGGATATCTAGACATTACAGGTTATATCTAGGTACGGATATCTAGACATTACAGGTTATATCTAGGTACGGATATCTAGACATTACAGGTTATATCTAGGTACGGATATCTAGACATTACAGGTTATATCTAGGTACGGATATCTAGACATTACAGGTTATATCTAGGTACGGATATCTAGACATTACAGGTTATATCTAGGTACGGATATCTAGACATTACAGGTTATATCTAGGTACGGATATCTAGACATTACAGGTTATATCTAGGTACGGATATCTAGACATTACAGGTTATATCTAGGTACGGATATCTAGACATTACAGGTTATATCTAGGTACGGATATCTAGACATTACAGGTTATATCTAGGTACGGATATCTAGACATTACAGGTTATATCTAGGTACGGATATCTAGACATTACAGGTTATATCTAGGTACGGATATCTAGACATTACAGGTTATATCTAGGTACGGATATCTAGACATTACAGGTTATATCTAGGTACGGATATCTAGACATTACAGGTTATATCTAGGTACGGATATCTAGACATTACAGGTTATATCTAGGTACGGATATCTAGACATTACAGGTTATATCTAGGTACGGATATCTAGACATTACAGGTTATATCTAGGTACGGATATCTAGACATTACAGGTTATATCTAGGTACGGATATCTAGACATTACAGGTTATATCTAGGTACGGATATCTAGACATTACAGGTTATATCTAGGTACGGATATCTAGACATTACAGGTTATATCTAGGTACGGATATCTAGACATTACAGGTTATATCTAGGTACGGATATCTAGACATTACAGGTTATATCTAGGTACGGATATCTAGACATTACAGGTTATATCTAGGTACGGATATCTAGACATTACAGGTTATATCTAGGTACGGATATCTAGACATTACAGGTTATATCTAGGTACGGATATCTAGACATTACAGGTTATATCTAGGTACGGATATCTAGACATTACAGGTTATATCTAGGTACGGATATCTAGACATTACAGGTTATATCTAGGTACGGATATCTAGACATTACAGGTTATATCTAGGTACGGATATCTAGACATTACAGGTTATATCTAGGTACGGATATCTAGACATTACAGGTTATATCTAGGTACGGATATCTAGACATTACAGGTTATATCTAGGTACGGATATCTAGACATTACAGGTTATATCTAGGTACGGATATCTAGACATTACAGGTTATATCTAGGTACGGATATCTAGACATTACAGGTTATATCTAGGTACGGATATCTAGACATTACAGGTTATATCTAGGTACGGATATCTAGACATTACAGGTTATATCTAGGTACGGATATCTAGACATTACAGGTTATATCTAGGTACGGATATCTAGACATTACAGGTTATATCTAGGTACGGATATCTAGACATTACAGGTTATATCTAGGTACGGATATCTAGACATTACAGGTTATATCTAGGTACGGATATCTAGACATTACAGGTTATATCTAGGTACGGATATCTAGACATTACAGGTTATATCTAGGTACGGATATCTAGACATTACAGGTTATATCTAGGTACGGATATCTAGACATTACAGGTTATATCTAGGTACGGATATCTAGACATTACAGGTTATATCTAGGTACGGATATCTAGACATTACAGGTTATATCTAGGTACGGATATCTAGACATTACAGGTTATATCTAGGTACGGATATCTAGACATTACAGGTTATATCTAGGTACGGATATCTAGACATTACAGGTTATATCTAGGTACGGATATCTAGACATTACAGGTTATATCTAGGTACGGATATCTAGACATTACAGGTTATATCTAGGTACGGATATCTAGACATTACAGGTTATATCTAGGTACGGATATCTAGACATTACAGGTTATATCTAGGTACGGATATCTAGACATTACAGGTTATATCTAGGTACGGATATCTAGACATTACAGGTTATATCTAGGTACGGATATCTAGACATTACAGGTTATATCTAGGTACGGATATCTAGACATTACAGGTTATATCTAGGTACGGATATCTAGACATTACAGGTTATATCTAGGTACGGATATCTAGACATTACAGGTTATATCTAGGTACGGATATCTAGACATTACAGGTTATATCTAGGTACGGATATCTAGACATTACAGGTTATATCTAGGTACGGATATCTAGACATTACAGGTTATATCTAGGTACGGATATCTAGACATTACAGGTTATATCTAGGTACGGATATCTAGACATTACAGGTTATATCTAGGTACGGATATCTAGACATTACAGGTTATATCTAGGTACGGATATCTAGACATTACAGGTTATATCTAGGTACGGATATCTAGACATTACAGGTTATATCTAGGTACGGATATCTAGACATTACAGGTTATATCTAGGTACGGATATCTAGACATTACAGGTTATATCTAGGTACGGATATCTATAAGTGACTGCAGTTATGTTTAATGTATTATACTAATGTACCTTACCAACTATTTGTGACAGGTGCTTCTACTTTACGCACGTTCCCGGTCATTTATGATAATGTCAGCTCGGGCAAGTAACTCAAGTATTGTATTTCAGTTGTTACGGAAACAAATCACGTTTCAACAGCGGAAGATTTGATGATTTAAACGTTTGCTTTTGTATCATTATTATAAAACATACATTTTATTATTATCATTTTCAAATCATACAGATATTTAATTTTCTATATATATAGGAGGTACGGTAGTCTAGTGGTAGGACGCCGGGCTCGTGACCGAAGGGTTGCAGGTTCGAGTCACGGCACGGAAGTATCTTGTATCTTTGAACAAGATACTTTACTCAGCTTGTTCCAGTCTACTCAGCTGTAAATTAGTACGCGGTTGGGCGGTGCTAGAATTGTAGAATGCTAGCTGTTAGCACCCGAAATTGCAGCACCGTCTGTATGCTCCCCAGGGAGTTGAGAAAGATATTGGCTGGTTGCAAGCAAGGCCCTATGTTACCACGGATACTAATTTGTGAACCGCTTTGAGACGACCTACGAACTAGTTTGTGATAAAGCGGTATATAAGAACCTCAAATTATTATTATTATATATGATAAATATATCTATATTTTTTTTACATATAATGATTATACAACAGTGAACTTCTGAATATATTTTGATTAGGGTGACCTGGGAGGTAACACGGTACATCCTTTGAGACCTTTTTATATGTGAAGGTGATTATACTTTCTTACTTTTTTGATCTAATCACATGAAATATCAAATGATACTCTTTGAAAACCTAGAAAGATGTATAAGTATATACTGTGATTCAGCTCTCAGGTGTCTTTCAAGTTGATGAAACTGTTGAGATAAAGTCAGTATTAATCACGGTCCCGCTTACCAGACAGAAGGACTAGTTGTAAATTTCAAACGAGGTTATTTAGTTACTAGTTGCAAGTGTGTGACGGGTTCGTAACGTGTACGGTAAAAGACGTAGAAATTATAAGTATTCTAAAAACAGGCTTTCAGCGACAGTGGCAGTCTACTGTAGATTTAACCACCTATGGGTCACTTTAAAATAAGATATCATGAGCTATTCAAACTTAGATGATAATATATTAACATCCGGTTACATTGGAGAAAGAAGATAACAGTGGAGAATTGGGAGCGGCTAAATAACATTGTTCTCTTCGACATGGCTGATAAGAGGTCACATACGGGAGTATAGAAGGAAACCCTTGAATCGCCATGATGTCTTCGTATTGAAGTTATCCGGTATAACCATACAGTGGGATACAGCAAACTAAATATTCTTTACAAACTCAAGTTTTTTGTTGTTTGTGTTTAACGTCATATCAACAGCTATGCTCATTTAAGGACCTGCCAGGTTTTGGTGGTGGAGGCAAGCCGGGGTTCCCGGAGAAAAAACACAAATTCTAAGTTTATAGAGTAATAAAGAGTCTCTGATGTTACGTGTTCTACTTATAGTAACGGTGATAATAAGAGTATTCAAACGTCAACTAGAACAAATATAAACTTTATTTATTTTAAAACAATTATGAAACAAGTTATTTCAACTTATATTAATCACTCTTGTTGGCCCGGATGTTAGTGTGCAGGGGTATTAATATGGGAGGTAACCGGAGTACCTGGAGAAAACCCACGTGGTCGGGCGGGTGACCCGATATTAATTCACGTCCGATCGGGGAATCGAACCCCGGCCGCCTTGATGAAAGGCAGGTGCGCTATCAACTGCGCCATCCAACCGCCCAACTAGAATAAGAAGTGTGGTTCTGAATTTTCATTTAAAGTGTTACGACAATCGGATAAGACTTTCATTCTGTAAAGTGATGGAAACAAATTGTATTTAATATTGCAGTGATCTTGTTTTTTTAATAAAACAAAGGCTGACATACAAACATATACAATAAAGAAATAAACATCTATGTTCGAGGATTTTAATAAAAACTGTAGATTTCAATATTTAAGTAGATAAGGCAGAAGTTTTAATTAGTGCGTATTTGTTTGTGATATTTCAGCATATTAACGGAAAGTGTGAACGTTTCATTCATGTTTGAATATCTGTTAATAATAGTTAAGCTTGTTATTAGAAAGTTTGTTTATATTTGAACAAAAAGGAAAGTGTTATTATATTTAATAATTTAAAACATGTAATTTGAAAGTGTTAGCATTTTTGCCAAAATAATGTTAATATTTTATTCGTGTTTAAGCATGTTAGCGAAAAGGCTTCAACAATGTTTATTCCGTCTTTGCGTATTGCAGAGTTATCTGCTCTTGTGAGCAGGTATTGACTGTTACGTCATTTGTTTGTGAGAATAACGTCGTCACTTTTTGAGAAAACGGCGTAATTTTCTCACACAAACCAATGACGTAACAATCAATACCTGCTCACAAGAGCAGATAACTCTGCAATACGAAAAGACGGAATATGTTTGTACTGGTTAGTAGAAAGTGTTATCATACTATTTATGTCTGAGCATGTCAGGAAATGTTTTTAACATAACGTTAAAATGTGTTTAAACATGTTGGCAAAAAGATGGATTTACATCTTGTTTATAATATTTCATTCAGCGATTAAGTCTTAAGGCTGTATTCACTGTGTTTGTGAGCATTCTAGAGAGTGACAACGCTTTCACTATCATGCTTGTGTACCTTTGTATCCATGCATAACCTACATATGAACTTGTTATGGGGATTAGATAAAATACAAGTTATTACAAGTATGAAACCTGTGTATTACCTCTTCTAATTGGCTCATAGACATCTAATGGCCTTGATAAGGATTCAATACACGTAGTTATTAACTCATTCACCCCTGAAGACACATTTGAACTCTTCCAGTACAAAGGTTGGAATATTTTATCATGGAATTTCAGGGGTGAATGAGTTAACTCGTGTAACATAAGTCAACTTATTGCATCCACGGTTAGATAATTAACGGAAAGTCACATCTACTGAAGCTGGATTTTAAAGCTATCAACACACATTAGTATCAATCCGTAAATCATTTCAGCATATTTTATATTTTTAAAAATCAATTTATGAAGAATAGCATGATGACAGTACTTTATAATTACTGAAAATCATCGAGAATTGTTTCAAAATAGATACGCAGTTTTACCTTCATTTTCCATTTTAATTCTGTATTTCTTCTTGTAATCCTTTTCAAGTGTAAAGGAGGGCGTGTCCCCGTAAATATTTGTCTCTATTTCATTGTACGTCACAGCTTCATCATCAATAAGTTTATTTTTACTGGCTTGGGCAGCTCGTCTGCAACAAAAATATAAAATAACTGCAAATCTCATCAACCAAGTCATATGGTGTTTTTTTTACATTTAATACTGTTTTGTTACTAATTTTCGTAAGATATTTGCCCCCCCCCCCCCCTGAAATTTGCACTACTGTGTAGAAAGATTTAGAGGTAAAACCTCATATAACTATAGTCATGCATGTGGATTTTTGTCTACGCTATTAGTGACTCGCTAAATATAAAAAAAAGTTCCGAGACACATTCACGAATAGTTGTACAGACAGATATGATAAATTATGCAGTATAAAAGATACCTCTAGGGGTGTAACCTTTACCGACCACATCATTCTGATTAAATGTGCACCCCTAAAAATATAATATTATAGCTCCGATGATCGGAAGAGCCTTCCTGTTTACTTACTGGTAGGTGTAATACTCTGTTGACTTGCCATTGGCATCAACCAATGTACCTTTCACGTGTTTCATCCATTCCTGTAAGAACAATATACCCAAACGAACTATTTTAAATGTTAAAATGACTTGTCATCTCGAAAAAGAGGAAATCAATTCTCATCAAATGAAGATGAATTTATAATTCCTCAGTAGAGAGTGAATATAATAAACAGTGCCACTACTCAAACAGATACCTAAGTTAACAAAGTACAAAAGTACAAGGTAAATAAAGTACAAAGTAAACAATGTACAAGGTTAATAAAGTACAAAGTAAACAAAGTACAAAAGCACAAGGTCAACAAAGTACAAAGTAAACAAAGTACACGGTTAATAAAGTACAAAGTAAACAAAGTACAAAAGCACAAGGTAAACAAAGTACAAAGTAAACAAAGTACAAAGTAAACAAAGTTAACAAAGAAAACAATTTTACCACGCCATAGCCATACGGCTATTTTGTTTAATTATCTTTGAAGAAAATATCATTTTATGACACTGTTAGACTATTCTTAAATTATTTTAACACGCATCAAAAAGAAGAATGTTTTGACGATACAGAAATCCACATAAGGTGCGATCATTTCATACACAGCGGTGTGCATTTCACACTAAAACGGTGGAAATAAAGGGTTAAAATTTCTGTTTCCGAATTATTTTTTTAACATATGACGGAAATTTATTTACAGCGTTTAAGAGTGGTTGTATGAGTAACAAATGCACCTTAATGCTCAGAAGGAAGATACAATGTTATCGTTTCATCACCCTAAATTATGTCGTGAAGAACTTTTACAGATATGTCCGAACACTTAAGTGTAAATACTGTGAAAACCTCATTACAAGAGATCCCCCACAATCCAGACAAAACGTTTTCTTTAAATTGTGAACGAACACAATGACGAATGTGTTTTGCTTGATACATGTGATGATCATGTTAGATGTCTTTAAACAAAGATGGTCTTTTTAAGAACTTTGATAAGTAGGATCGAGTAGCATGAGGAACTTTCACACTTGAGAACAAACCCTTACCTTCATTTCTCTCTCTGATGGCGCAGCGAAATAATATGATTTGAATTCTTTGTGAGTGTGAACGACCTGGAAAGCCCATGGTCCCTGTTTCGGTGCTACAGCCTTCGACCGTGTGACGCTATCAAATAAACAAAGAGTCATTCTTAAGATGGTCGAAATTAAAATACATGAATAACGGGTTTGCCTCTCCTAATCATAACATTAAGGTGTCAACGAAAAATTGACATGAGACACAAAAACACAACAAGACATATATAGCTTAAATATAACGGATAGTTCTTCATTGAATATTTTTAATTCACATGTTTTAAAGGAACATCCACTATTTCGAGGCCCTTAACATGACCAATCTTCCGTGATGTAGGCCTATTGGTATACTCATATGTGTTGGCAGGAGCGAATTCAAATCTAGGAGTGGCTTGTGTCAGAACTCCAAACTGGGTCTTAAATATTGTTGTTTTTGTCTTTTCTTGATTTAAGGACTTCCTTTGGTCTATTACATATGGGAGGATGAATTGAGTTGGTCTTGAGACATGTTAAATGAACTGCGAAACCTGATTCAACCTGATTTTGTCACAAAACCGACTTAATTTATCACCCAGTTAAATACACCAAAGCAATTTCCAATCCATATATTTCAACTAATATGTTTCTTCAATAATTTAACTTTGTGAAATTATATATAGCTTGTCGTCGATGCTTGGACTTGTGCAAGTCTACGTGGTGACAAAACCCAAACAATATACATATACTCTGTCATTGACAGACCATCATTCAGCGACAAAGTGTAAGCTTATATTTCAATACAGCAGTATTAGGGTATAATAAAATACAAAAGCAGATTTTAAATGTAATAAATGTAAGAATAATCTCCTCTTGCAAAACATGAAAACATGCATGCAATGTTAATCTGGTCAATTTCATGGGCAAATGAAACAGACAAGATTCAGTGCAATTGTTACGTTTCAATGAGTCAACCTTGGATAAAAATTGAAATATAAAGGTATCGAGTGTCAATTTAAGTTTTCAAGTTTTTAATGTGAACTTAAAAAAGAAAAGATTAGATGGAGAGATACTTTCGTGATGTCGCCACTGTTCTTAAAAAGGGAAAGAAAAGGTAAAAAACAGTAAATAGAAATGTAAATAATACAGATATAATTTTACCAGTGTAGTTTTCAGGCATCAAATTTGTATCCAGCGACAAAACATGACATTATTTTGGTCTATATCAAATCTTTTATCACCTGGATGCTTGATTAAAAAATAGTTATATGCTTTTTTGATACATCAAAAGGGAAATGAAATAGATAGCAAGTTTAAACAACATTCTTACCTGTTATACCCATAGAAGGCAAACTTGCCGAGTGGCCTGTTGCTGTACTCATTTTTAAAATAATATATACAACCCTTGCTGAGAACCACGTAGACCTGAGGCCCTGTAATATAAAACAAATGCAAGTTAGCTTATCATCAAAGATAAATGACAAAACTTCATTGTTATGTAATTTTGCAACGTTTAAAGTGAATGACATGCCGCTTAGCACAAGATTTTCCACGATGATTATCACACTTTTAAACTTATTTTACATCAAGTTTAGTCTTTGTTTGAGTAATTTTGTAATTGGATAATCATTATCTATAACAAATGTCATAATGAAGCAAATTCTTTTTTAACCATTCAACAGTTAAACCAATTTTAAAGCCGCTTCTGCATAACAGGAACTTTTTCATTGGGCTGGAATATTCGCCATTCACCGGTAAAATCCATAACCCCCAGTGCTAATTTTGTCCTTCACAATAGAGATATTCAGTTCACTTTTTAATAGGCCATTTTGAACAGCTATGCTATCCTATGACATTGTTCTATGACAATGTACACCACAGATACTGATATCGGCGTAATGATGAATTTGTCCTCGTAATTGAAGCTGAAATTAAATTGCTACAGAAACGCTACAGCAAACACTTTACACAGTATTTATTTCCATTTTGGAGGATATTCTTTAGTGAATATATCGGCTCTCCTAAATTATGCAGCACACTACTTATGCTTGTATAGGTAATGCATTTAAAACAATGTTGCATCCTCTGCTCCTTGTCACACATGTAAATCTTATTTTGCGAATAGATGAGCAGATTAGACAAATCCTTTCATAAATGAGGAGACAATACCTATTCTACAACTGTTTCATAGACGATACATTTACATTAGTTTCTGATGTGCCAATAATTTGCTACAGACACTGCCGCCTACAAAACTATAATATGACAATGGCATTTTTGATTTCCATTTCTGTTTTTTAAACCATATTTCATCAAAAACTTTTGCAAACAGTCAGAAAGGTTTTCAAGATAACATCGAAAATAAGACAGAAACAAGTGTCACAAAAATAAAGCAAATATGTTACATACTTACTATTATATACAATAGCTATATCATATATAGAGCATGGTAGAGGGAAGAGGAACACAGAATATATCTATATCATAATTGGACCTGTTGTAAAGAGGTTATACAATGAGCTTCCTGTTTTCCTGTTACAAGCTAAATATGGATAATTGATGTATCATCATGTAACAATACCGGTACGCCCCTCTTTAAATGTAAAGTAACCGCTGATATGTACCGGTACAAGGCATCATGATACACACTCCTTAACACCCGGCATTTTGAACAATGCACTGTTTTTCTATGAATGCTAAGTGGAAATTTCACTTTTTGTGGTCACATCAATTGATGTACGTGAGCTTTTACACGATCATGACACTTAGGTAAAAAAAAGAAAGGTGTCAATTAAGGGAGTCTCCTCTAAATTGTTAAATTCCATGGTCACGATTACTCGCGTTCTCTACACCCCGGGAATATGTCATAGCAAAGGTGAGGGCACGCGATTAGCTATTTGACTCGATTCATGTAAAATAAACATGAACACTTGCTAGACAGATATACCTGTGCTTACAGCTTAGGCTGTTACATGCGCTTAGAAGATTACAGAGGAGAGACACCAAACTTCAGAGCCGGTCAATTATACCATTACGCTGCATGGCGATTCTTTTCATGTACATCACAGAATCAAATATGTAAACTTATATCATCCACAGGGTTGCACATACAGATCCTTTTAGGTCTTTAAAACATATTCCAGGGATGCAAATAACGAAAGAGAGCGTAACCCCTGAAATTCCGATGATGGCACCCAATGGCCTATCAATTGTAATCTTCACCGACTCATACCATATGATTAAATGTACGATAAACGCCTATTCTTAAAGTACCCCACTGTAGTTGATGCTAGCACGCATGATTTTCATTACAATAGGCCAATTATCTCTCCAGAAGATCTGCAAGAATCAAGTTTCATCACTGTGCAATCTGTTTGTGCGATGACTTACAATTGAATATTTCAAGTTTGTTGACAAAGTGACGTTTTCGAAGCCATCCGCTATACGTGTTATCGGTTCTCAGTAAATCCTGGCAACCTAGAAAAGATGGTAATATACAACAATTTTCAATAAAAGGAAAGAAAAAAAAACACAATTTACAAACTAATACCATTTAATTCACTAAACTTTTATCTCTCTTTCCTTACAGTTTTTCATAACCAATTCATTACCAGTGTATACCACAGAAGTGCAGATTTCATTTTATTTTTATAATAAAAGGGTTCATTCATGAAATGAAAATTGAATGAGATGAAAAAAATACTGAACTGAGTATTACATAATATCAATATACATACATCCGACGATTATATAAAATTTCAAGCATAAGGAAGGCATCACTTGACTCTTGTATCGCTCACAATATCATATTTGTGTCTTTTTGACATCTTTATAATTAAGTTAAAAGAGAACAATTTGTTTCCTTTATTGTTATGTATTATTCTTGTATTCTTATTGTTATAATTTGTGGTATATACTCTCTTAAAGGAAATATAACTATTTATATTGGGAACGTGTTTTTGAGACAAGCTCTATTTATAACAAACAAATCCTCTTTTTCGATTGAATATACGCAAACATATACCATATCAAACATGTTTAAACTATCGCGTTACAAACCTATAAATAGAAATATATAAAGAATATACGTACTTATATTCTGTAAAGGCTGCGGAATATCCCCGTCATAAATCGTCGCCATGACGTCACCATCACATGTAAATGTTTGGTAGGGACAACACTGGATAACGAGTCTGCAAATACAATAAATAAATAGGTGTCCGTTTGTTGATGTTTGGAACGCTGTGCCAGCATAGTATTTCAGCGAGATGGCACTATAAAGTCGGCGTCAGATCCGCACTATCACAAGGAGGCAAATACACCAACATACCCTGTCTCCGGCACACATACACACATGCACGCTTACACAACACATATGGAGGCATGTCTTTAAACGTCCTAAGCTGTTAATAGGACGTTGAACAATGTAACACCAAACCAAACCAAACCAAAAGTTTGTTTGCACCTTAAATTCTTCACAAGGTATTGCGAGTAAGATAAATAAAAGAATTCCTGAGAATACAGTATTGTGCAAAAGTTTCTGTTCCTTACTCGAATGGACAGGACCAAGGAACAGTGGAACTATAGAGTTATTCAATGTTTGTACTACAGAATGAAAGGTTTTCGAAATATTAGACAGGGAAATGCCAAAAAGAGCGGACCTACATGTATGATTCCAAGAGATTATCTCTTGGAATCATTAATATTGGTCCACTCTTTTTGATAGTAGTTTTCATCGTCACCCAAAACAGTAAACAAGCATTTTGTGTAGTTTTGATATACACTGAAGAAAAAAGAAATGGACCAGGTACGAATGGATTTTGATAAAAAGAATCTTTGGAACGAACTGTCCAAGCTTTGCAGCCAGGGTCATCCGAAAGAAAACAAATTGAGAGTGAAGGCTGATTGATTCTTTGATAAGATGTACGACACTTCTAAAATGTCATCAATTATTTCAGACGACCTGCTCAGTAATTGAGAATCCATTGGCTATCTTCCTTGTAGGATAACTTGTGTTCTTTGGTTCAGGTCAATGCAAATAAGATGAAATAAGCGTACATGTGATAGCGCAGAACACAACAATTTGTGTGTGAAAGTTAACTGATGCCTGCCACGTTTTGGCCAAAGTATGGATTTGGTTCCCCTGGAATAAAAATTGTTAAAACAAAGGCAACATTTTTGTGTATGTAAATAGGACCCGTAAAACAGGTCCTTGATTGTTAAGAGAGGAAAAATACAAGTAGTTTCATCTTCCAAACGTTCTGTTTCAAATTCTCTTTTGCGCAGATACTTTATGAGGCACTTTGGACAAAATACTAACATCTTCATTTGAGCAATATATGCCACTTTTAGTCAATATAACCAAAAGCTATTTATACTGTTGATATTTTTACATTTCTTGAACCTTTACATTTTAGAGCTTTCTCGAAAATACGATGGCAATCTTCACTAATACATTTACTCTTCATAATGAGATGAATTTTAACAAATGAGTATGAAATATCCCCTTGAAGCAAAGTAGAAATACAACTCTGATGATGAAATGTATAAAAAAAATCATAAAATGTTTAAGTACAAATTCTAAAAAGTGACCCAGATAAAACATTTGATCACCATGCCAAGTGATGAAGCAAATCTGATTTGGAATTTTTTGTGACCTAACATGCACTGAAAGGGTTATTGTAGGCTTTCAACGAATTTTATAACCAAATACATGTACCTGCAATTATAGGGTGCATTGCTTTTGGTGGACGCCAGGGAAGTGTCTTAGGCCCTCACCTTTTTGGGTACACATGGTAGTTTGTTGTGCGAAATGAATTCTTTCCACCACTATTTTTTGGACTGAATTGTTGCATACATATTTGATATAACACCACTTCATCATACTATAAAGCTTCTTGGTGTACAGGAATAATAAGAATAAAAAATCCTGTATGTTCCATTAGAATTTTCACAAAATGTTCGATTATCCTCACATTCTGGTTGATGTATATATTATTTCAGTATCACATGAAAGAAAAGGTTCTTTCCAAAGTATAATGTTGAAAACTGAGTAAAGCATATCTGGTAATGAAAACCATTGTTATACGTAAATATGATTGATAGTAATAGAACCAGTAGCTGTAGCAATTCCATTTATATGGATATTTACAAAGTTGACTTGCAAAGATCAATACAATAGATAATGTATGAACTCCCCAAAATAAATAAATAGATAATTATAAATAAATAAATGATAAATAAAATAAAATAAATTAATGAAATCAAATAAATAAATAAAAAATAAAAAAATAAAAAAAAAGATATCTTAGTTTTAAAACAAATGCTTAAATACAGCCCATTGCACCGTTAAGATGAAATGACATGGTAACAATCATAACCAAGATTTTAAAAGAAACAAATATACACCAAGATACCCCCTGGTAACAAAGGGTCATGAACGGCTATATTTATCTGTTTACAACCTAGTTTCCGACCTTGTCTGAGGGTATATATACAACGCTTCCTGTCAGTATATATATACAAAGTCAATAAGAAAAAGACTGTCGATAGGCAAATCATCAAGATATATCTCTACTCTCTACATTAAAGCTGGAATGAAATATTTCCATTGGTAAGATCCTATATTGTAGTCCTTGTAAGTTTTCGCCGTACAGACCCAGATATCTCATCATCTCATACGTATACGGTTCCGTCTATGTACACATGAAAGTATACCATAGAATATAAATGAAACGGAAGGCAAAAAATTAGGTAACAATTTAAAAGGTTTTTGACAACAACATATGTATGCTTATTCCGGCGTTCAAACATCATACATTATTTTTTTTCTATTGAATATCTTAGATATCATTTAATCCTATTGACTGTCAAGCGTAAAACTGATGTAATACTCGCGCGGTGAAAGGAAATAATTTATAAAAGAACACCTGTATGAATATTCTAGTCAGTGCCAGATCAGAATGTGTCCTGTACAAATCTCTTCAGATTGTGTGCATTGGCAGGTGTAATGCTATAGCATGTAGTCACGCTGTTGTGCACTAAAAACACATTACCGCCAGTCTCAATTACACTTCACAACTCTGTGTGTACAGTCCACAAAACACTATGGTAGTGATCGACTCTCTCTCTTAAGCTTTCACTTAGGCGGAGTCTCTTTGTTGTTATGTTAACCAATGGACGTACCGTTACGGAATCTAAAGATGTTGGATATAAGGTACCGAGAGTATTCAACCCATTGTTTACCTGTCTGATATATTTTGACCTAACCTAAATTATTCAGTAATTTTACACGTTTTAAGGGTTTAGACCAATTTTTGGTAACAATGCCACCCCCAATGATAATATTTATCTAAACCCCGAAAACGTATAAAATTACTCTGAACAACTTAGCTAATTAGGTCCAAATAAAGATGTAACCAATTATCAGGTCCCTGTGATCCTAACAGCCGATTAATGTGGAAAGCCCTGCATAATTGAGGGTTTTCTTTTGCATTTTATGCTTAAGGAACATTTAAGTACAAAAATTAATCTTCTGCCCCTACTGTAATACTTGTACTATATATCTGCATCTCCCTTTAAAACCGTTTACACATGACTTTAACTAGAACTGTAGCCAGGATAGGTTCAAATCCGGACAAACTATAATACAATACACTTAAGCATGTTTACTTAGATTGGTACTGGAGATCTGCTGTACTAGAAAGTTGTTTCCTTCCTTACTGAAACTGTTTATCAATGGGCATGTACAGCAGTACTAGTCCTTCAAAAGCACTGACAGCTTGACACCAAATAAAAATTTAAAAAAAACTTTGCCTATCTTTTGAAATGTATATCAGTAGACGCTAATTTGAGTTAAAAATAGAATAACAATTTGGCTAGGAATGCTTCAAGTAAGTCACCCATGGAGCACCAATAAGCCTGTTAAAAATAATCTTTCACCTCATTCAGTGAAAATTGGAGACAAAATATGATCATATAGACAAATTCATCCCATATGTTTTTTTCCTTCATAGCAGTGTGGTGTGTATTAAAAGTAAATCTGATTTTATTGACGGCTAGAATAGCGTTTGCCTGTTTTAGACAGAAATAGCTGATTTGACAAGCGTCTGTGTGGAAGTCATTGACGTGTATCAAGTGGAGTAATAGAAAAGTGCTAGACTGGCCCCGGTCTCTATAATTTTGAATCATTTAGAAAAAAAATAACTTTAATTCTATAGTTCTAAACTAGGGGGAGATAAGCTAGTAGTAAAATGCAGTCGAGAAATTCTTCATAACTTAGCTGGGGCTCGAAGCCAGTCTAGAACAGTGCACGCAGTGTAGAGAGCAAGTCAAGCGTTAAGATAGAGGTTATGTTTGGCAACAATGGCGGTTCAGTGTTATAGAGAAATTCTCTATTTTTTTCAGATTCCACACCAGTACGATGTTAACTACAATATATATGCCTGTTTAAAAGATGAGGAATCACTGTCAGTGAACAAGCAGAGGATTTTGCAAAAATTTGTGCGGCTAAAGATATTCTGTAGAGAAGATTAATTCACAATGTTTACATGATAGTGCTTAAACAGTAATTGTAGGCTCTCAGGAGCTTTGCCAATTTTAACTACTTCATATTTGAACAAGGAGGTTGAATACAAAACCAACTTACTTTTTGACATTTTTAATCTTGCTTGCTTAAGCTACACATTCTATTCAGATACATGCTAGATTTAACCTGACTTGCATTATAGATTGAGGTATTAAGGTTCAAGCTGGTTCTATCTTTTAACTCCAATGATAAATGGTGACATATTCAGATATTATGTGAATACTATTGACATTAAGAATGTCTAAACTAAAACACTCTACATAAAATGTACATGATGTACTTGTACGAAATCAAAAAAGATTAAAGGTCAATTGCAATGATAGCCTGTACTTGGGAATGCAATTGAAAATCAAAGGTCATTCACAGCATAAATATGTAGTACTTGAGTTTACATTCACAGCATAAATATGTAGTAGATCTACTTGAATTTACATATGTATCACAAACAGCCGAATTAAGTCTGCTAGCGGTATTTGTTACTCTGCTGTTTATCCAAGTTTGTTTTGGGACTTTTTTTAAACCAAACCTTTATTTTCGCTCAATATAAACCACATTCTTTTAATGACGACAACATATTTTGTTGAATAATGTTGAAAGTATAACTAATTAAGGATGCAGAACCCGAATCGGATCAGTACCCAAATCAGATCACTTTTTGCAAAAATAATTTTAAATCAATAAATGTGTCAACACATCAGTTATAACAATGATGTTACTTTGGAACAGATAGACATGCACTATTTTTTGTCTACAGATAATTAGTTTTTAAATTAAAATAGCACTAGAAAACGTAATTCAAACTCAAATGTCGGTGTTTTGTTTTTAGAAAATGGCGGTGCGACGACTATGCATTCTGTTTTGGCTATAGGAATAAATTCACCTTGTAGAAATGCTTGTTTTCATATAAATTCCAACGGTCGTCATAAAATGTTGACATGCTGACAAAAAAAATATTAATTTGAAGTGTAAGATACTGCAAAGGTCAAGCCTTGATCCGAATTGGATCCTGACATTCGCAAAAACCGGAGACGCTGATAGGCGACTTCAGAATGTTCTAAAAATGTTTCCCGTGAGCCCCGGTGTAACAGACACTTCTTCCCCCCCCCCTACCCCCCACTGAAAGTTTCACATGGTTACACTTCTAAGTTGGGTGATCTTATAATTACAGACAAATAATACAGTATAAGTATTAAGAGTGGCTTAAGGTAATAGGATTGTGTCGCCATTTCTCAGTAGAATTTATTCAAATTTTGTAGATATATTGCTTGGAAGTAAAGAAAATTTTCTGCCACAAAAAAAAATAGGTTGTCAGAATTTTAAGGATTTTAAAAGGAAATTTATGTAAAAAGGAAAAGGAGTGAATTTTGAAAAAAACAATTGAAACACACAATTTTTTGCAAAATAATGTCAATAAAAATGATACTTACATAGATTAGTATTGCATTAATGTATATATATCAATTTCATAAATGCTGAAATTGTGTACAATTAATTATCTATAAACGATTAAAAATTGACATTTTACAATAAAAGCATATACACATAGTAATTGCATGCAAGAGTAATCGTTCTTGAAAAACTTCACAGTAGTGAAATAGGTAGCCGGTTTCTGAAGTACAGAAAAATGGACACATATGATTCATTGATCAAAAAACAACTGAACTAGAACACTGACAGGTCAGTAAGGGCCCGTCTTGTGGCAATATATCCCCCATAATCATCAAGAAGCAATCTGCCCATATAGCTGAGCTTGACGCTTGACATTTGGACTTCAAAAAGAATCGCAAGGAAGCAAAATATACATTTTACATGTACTATGATGCGAGTCTTGTTTCCTTCAACCTCCATATTTGCTGGGCTAACAGAAATGTAAATACCGGTGCAATACTTATTTGTTAGCTTTGATTTGTTTTATTTCACCTTATATACCTCCTCCATCAAGAGCCAGGGTCAAAGTCAGAGATCCACTTTGTCTTTGACCTTTGGACCCAAATGACCTTGACCATTAACCCATGGCAGTGACCCTGATCTATGCTCAGTTGACTTATTCTTTAATTCGGACCATATTTGCTTCTTGATATCATAACAAAATGTTCATCAGTAAAAAATACAAAACTTGACCTTGACCCTTTGGACCTTGTTACCTGGACCTAAGGTCATCAGTTGACTCTGTGTTAAGTTCTGAACAACATTGCTTTATAATGTCATAACAAAATGTTCATCAGGGAAAAGGTACAAAATTTAACCTTGACCTTTGACCCCATGACCTTGACCTTTGGTCAGTTGACTCCTTGATTAATTCTGATCAACTTTGCTTCATCATGTCATAACAAAATGTTCATCAGTGAAAAAATGCAAAATTTGACCTTGACCTTTGAATTTAATGACCTTGACTTTTGACCTCAGTGTGTCTCTTTGTTTAATTCCGACAACTTTGCTTGATAATGTCATAGCGAAATGTTCACCAGTAAAAAGCTAAAAAATTTGAGCTTGACCCCCGACCCGATGACCAATTAATACCATCAGTCAGTAACATAATTTGTGGACAGACAGACAGACAGAGTGATTACTATAGGGCACCCTTATCTCTGTCACAGACAGACAGACAGACAGAGTGATTACTATCGGGCACCCGTATCTCTGTCACAGACAGACAGACAGACTGATTACTATAGGGCACCCGTATCTCTGTCACAGACAGACAGCCAGACAGAGTGATTACTATAGGGCACCCGTATCTCTGTCACAGACAGACATACAGACAGAGTTATTACTATAGTGCACCCGTATCTCTGTCACAGACAGACAGACAGAGTGATTACTATAGGGCCCCCGTATCTCTGTCACAGACAGACAGACAGACAGATTGATTACTATAGGGCACCCGTATCTCTGTCTCAGACAGACAGACAGACAGAGTGATTACTATAGTGCACCCGTATCTCTGTCACAGACAGACAGACAGACTGATTACTATAGGGCACCCGTATCTCTGTCACAGACAGACAGCCAGACAGAGTGATTACTATAGGGCACCCGTATCTCTTTCACAGACAGACAGACAGACAGAGTGATTACTATCGGGCACCCGTATCTCTGTCACAGACAGACAGACAGACTGATTACTATAGGGCACCCGTATCTCTGTCACAGACAGACATACAGACAGAGTTATTACTATAGTGCACCCGTATCTCTGTCACAGACAGACAGACAGACGGAGTGATTACTATAGGGCACTCGTATCTCTGTCACAGACAGACAGACTGACAGACAGAGTGATTACTATAGGGCACCCGTATCTCTGTCACAGACAGACATACAGACAGAGTTATTACTATAGTGCACCCGTATCTCTGTCACAGACAGACAGACAGAGTGATTACTATAGGGCCCCCGTATCTCTGTCACAGACAGACAGACAGACAGAGAGATTACTATAGGGC